TTGCAGTATCTGCAAAACTTCTTTCCATCCTTGTAGTCTCTATCACTAGTCTGTGGATGACGAGATTGATTGTTGTTTTGGCCAGATGTTGCAGCTAGAGCCACTGACTCAACACCCTTGGGCTTGTTAACCCCTTTCATTTGTCTTTCCAGCTGCAATATCTGTTTGAACACCACATCGATGCTAGGCAAAATAGGATTCATCAACACCTGTGTTCGTGCTGACTGATAGGTGTCATTCAATCCTTGTAGAAATTTAATGACAAAGTCATTATCCTGATATCGTTTCATCACTTCATATGGTCCATTGCAGGGACATGAGGGAATGGGTCTGTATCTCTTATATTCCTCCCACACAACAGTGATAGCAGTGAAAAATTGACTGACAGTTTGGTCACCCTGAACACATTTACCCAACTGTCCTTCCAGATCATAAACCCTAATGTTATCTTCTTGACTAAAACGGGTTTTGAGGTTATCCCAAACATCCTTGGCATTATCCAAACGCATCACACTATTCGCTATGTCATCAGCAAGAGAATTATAGATCCAACAACGAATAGTTCCATTACACCTGAGCCAGGACTGATAGATGGGATTTGTTACCTCTGGGACTGGAATGCTACCATCAATGAAAGAGATCTTGTTCTTTGTAGCGAAAGCCACCAGCATGACTTGGCTCCATGTGTGGTAGTTGCCTTCCACGAGCTTGATGGAAACAATGGTGGACAAAGCACCATCCTGTGGGGGTAGGTAGTAGGGGTTTAGGTATGGATCTTCGTACTGTGGAAAATCCATTATTCGGGATTTCCCAGCACTACCAGATCCAGATTTGGTGGTTTCGTCATCATCTGCCATTGCTCAAGAGATGAGCAGTGGGTATCAGAAGATGCAGGTGAGGTAGAAAGTGAGCAAGAAGAAGAGAGGCGGCGATGAGGTAAGGAGGGACTGAAACCCTAATAATGAGAGCAACCAGGCTCTGATACCATGAGAATAATCAGAGATTCTGGGGAAAATGCTCTCTGAGCTTTTCCATTGATGAAAAGAAGTTTATATACAGAACTGATTAACCTAACGGTAACTATAACTAATAAACGAATAATCCTATCTATGGCCTACACGTGTATATTTACACAGTAAAAACGGAAGTAAGTTACAAGGCAAAACGGTGCACTTCATCCTGTTTCTTCTTCTTGTAAACGTCACCGTATAAGGTGCACTTCATCCTGTTTCTTCTTCTTGTAAACGTCACCGTATAAGGCTCTGTCTTCTTCTTCTTCTTCATTTCTTCGATCTTCTGCAGAAGCAGAGCCTTCATCCCTCAATGCAGTATGACTGCAATTTGCCTTGTCTGTCTTCTCTGTTACGGTCACCGCCCTCCCTTCCCCATCCGCCAGCCAGGTTGGGGCAGCGAATTGCTTCTCTGCAGCTGTGCCCTTGCCCTGAAACCCAACCGTTTTCACACCCATGGATACCTCCTTTCCCTCAGCTACATCCACCGCAGTCCTCGCAGGTTCCATTTCCGCATCCGATAGTACGTCGAACCGGGAGCCTGAAACGTTACCATTCTTCTGTCTTTTCTCAGAACCAATGTTGATCCCCACCTGGGTAGGTCCCACAGCCTGTTTTTTCGTTCATGGTCTTCGTTTCGCGATCATCAACTCACCATAGAGTCCAACAAGTTCCTCCACAACCGGAGCTGCCAGAGCATTTACAGGCTCCTCAGTTTGCATTGCTTCCTTCGGGAGCGAGCACGAACACCGAGCTCGGGCAAAGTAAGTGCCACATTGAAGACAAATATTCTCCAAGCCCTCATATTGGATAAAATACTTCTTTTCATGAATCGTAAACTGGGACAAAAGAGGCTTCGTAATGTCCACTTGGACGCAAACACGAGCATAGTCACTACGTGCTCCCGTGCTCGTCGCATGATCAACTCGAATGGGCTTCCCAATGCACTGAACGATTTTCATAACCACGACAGGGTGAAAGTACTGAATTGGCATTTCCAATAACCGAGCCCAAACAAGCGTTGATGAAATCTCGTGGTTATAGGGGTCAAAGTCATCAGTCCAGGGGTGCACCGTGAGGTAATTATCCCCAACCAGCCATGGGCCGCCTGTTACAGCTCTTTCATAGTCTACTCCACTCGTAAAACGCACCAGAAAGTATGCACGACTGCAGCATAGCCTGGGCCTTAGTTCCTTGGGTCACCGGCGACGTCTTCGTCGAAGCCGCATCCTCGCCATCTTCCGTCTCCAAGCAGTCCGACGTTTGTTTCGCTTTTTTCTTAGTATGCTGAGTCTCACGATCGCCTTTCCGGTTTGGCGACGAAGACGCTGAGGGAGGTCGACGTTGGCCTGCTATCGATTTAGGCGCCATATTGGTGTCCATGTTGTCCCTAGCCAGCAGTGTAGCCACCGTCGGCAAGGTTGTGCAAGAAAACCCTAAGCTGCTCGTCGTCGCTCGGAAAATCGCCGCTCCTAAAATATCGGAGCGAAAATTCCCTCTTATACGTTTTCACAGCCTTCTACGTTCTAATCTTTATTTTCTACTTATAAAATTTGTTTTTTTTTTCAAAAAACTTCTCGAAACAATCCTTAGTTGATTTATTACGGGAGTAAATATTTGACGCCATAAAATTTAATAGCACATAATTATCATAAACCAAACCAAAAACAGGGCAAACCACACCAGAAAAATATAAACTAGAATGGAAAGCTCATAATGCATACAAGAAGTTATCCACGCCACAAAACTAATATAGCAGACCATAAAACTCATAAAACTTACCTCAAGTATCATAAATAACGCTAGAAAACTCAGAATAGACTACAAACAAGATCTGAGGTAGGGATGCTCCACCTCTGTTTGTACTTCGTAGATGGGAAAACAAGATCTGAGGTAGGGATGGTCCAATATGTGTATCTCTTGTGTGATAGCTTGTTGTTGATATTATTGCCAACACAAGCTACATGTGACTCGATCATAGAGAATGGTTGATTCAGGTTTAAGTATGCATGTTTTACCCTTCATAGCGTGATCATTTGACTTTGTGTTTAGTATTCCTTGGCCTATTTTACGCTAGGTTGTGCTTCGTTCCTCGAACTTCGTGTCAAGTAATGAGGAGCAGCAGGATAACTTCAAATCGCGGGCTGTTGTAAATGTCACGGCTTGAAGCTGTGATATCACCATCAAAGTCGTGACTTCCATCCCAGCACGATGCGAATTGATGAGCATTGAAGAACACGGTCGTGTGCAGGCTTGTTTTGTAGATTGCAAGGAACGACGAGCAATGATGAACACAACCGTTTTGTGGCTGTGTTTCGTGAGTGTGTTCGGACTGCTTCTGTGGGTTTTGAGAGGGGAGAGTTTAGTTTTTTTACCTAAAACACCCAAGGGGCATTTCAAAGAGAGGGAGAGGAACCTATGAGTGCTCTTGGAGCGAAATTAGAGGTACTCGTCCCTATTGGAGCGAGAAGATCAAGTCTAGAGATGAAAATTAAAGATCTTGAGGCTTATATTGTATTCTCCTTCTTCTCTATGGAATAGTTCTCCTTCATTTAGGTTTTGATGAATTGTAGCCATGTTCTAGTTTTGTGTGATTGAAAATTATGTTTGAATGATTCTTATGCATGATTTCACTGTTGATTATATAATGAATTGGCATTTTATCATGAAATTGTGTGGGGTTGATCACACTCTCCAATTTGGGGCTATTGACCTGTGTTGAGAATATCCAATTAGCGTGATTAGAACAATTCTCAATTATTCATTGTGGGTCAATTGATCGAGTGTGATATTGGACTAAAATATCCTATTGGATCATTGATCTTTTAGTGGGAGTCTAAATTGCATGCCCACAAAGTCCGAAGTATACTCCGGTGGTGAATCTGTTATGTACAAGAAGACTGCTATGATACATTGAGGATTCTATGAAGGCTCTCTGTCTGTTAGATATTTGGGATTGCGATTAATGTCTGTAGAACTGTCACAGCAGAAAACTGACACCCTAGTAGAGAACTTAACAAAGTAAGTGCAGCCTTGGAGAGCAAAGAAGTTGTCGTATGCAGGGCGATTACAACTAGTCTTGGCAGTCTTGATGGGGATAATTCAGTACTGGTTGCATATCTGTAATGACCCAGGACTACTACTGAGTGAATGGATGACAGCTGGCAGGAAGTATAAATAGGAAGAGGGGAGTCGTGTAATAGCTATCTCTGAACATTTTCCCAAAATTGTCTCTAGAATAGCTTGTTAGACAGACATTCATTTGTATCTCGTCTCTGTAAAACTCTGCTCCTCCCTTTGCTGGAATAAACAACGATCCCTATTCCTTACAATATCTTTATCTTGCCAAAGAAGGTTCTTAAAAGGATACCACAAGTTTGCTCAAACTTCTTATGGCATGGTGACGAGGTGGAGAAGGCAAAAGTAGCATGAGATAGGTTGGCTAGACCTAACAGGGAAAGGGGATTGGGATTGAAGGACCTGGATTTGTGGAACGGGGATTGTACAACCAGGTTGCTTTGGTTATTTCTAATGGAGGCCAGGTGCAATTTGGATCGCTTGTATGCAAGCTCACAAATGTAAGCGAACTTATTTGTGGCCAACGAAGGTTTCACAGAGTAGTTCATGGGCATGAAGGAGGATCCTTAAGATTAGAGACTTGGTTAAACCATTTCTGTTAGAAACCTATTTCTAGGGTTCTAACGATCGAGTGATAAGATTGGGAATTGATAGATATTTAGGGATTGAGATAGAATTGGGGAAGAACAGAATTGGGGATTAGGGATTTAGAAGAGGAAATTGGGGATCGAGGAGAAGAATGGCCGACGGCCTAGGGATAGGTGACGAATTTGAGAGAGATTAGGGTTTGAGATACTTTTCTGAATAATGGTTCTTGCTTGATTATGAATAAAACGCCAAGTACATATTTATAACGAAAGACAGGAAAACCTAATACTAAACCTAATTCTACTAAAAGACTACTAACCATATTTAATAAAACCTAATAATAATGATAATGATAATGATGATATAGAAACCCGTTTCTGTTAGAAAACGTGTTTCTAACATCCCCTTCCCCTTGAGACCAACCTTGCCCTCAAGGTTGAGCGACTCGACCCACGTCTCCGCCTCTCTTGCGCTATCAGTGTGCCAATTGCTTCGTGTCTTGCGCTTCCTTTTCTTCCAATCGGGCTCCACTACTTGAACGAATCTCATGTCAGCAACTTTGGCTCCCATGGCTTTTCCCTTACCCACAAGGCTTGTGCCGCAACCATGTCCAAATGATTCTCCATCCTCCTTTTCAAACTCCAGAAAGTAAGGATCAGAGAATTGTTCTTCCTTAGAGGCGTTGGTCCTCTCACCTTCTTCTTCACTCACGATAGCGACAGTAGCCTCGGTAGCCTTGGATGGTTGTTCAATCGCTGCAAGTGATGTTGATGATGAAGTCGCAGTCATGGTGACTAATGTTGTCGGAAGCTGCTGCTGTTTGTTGGTGACGTTTGGAAGCTCTTTCGTGGCTGGCGGCTCGATTGTCAAAACCTCCTCCACGTCTGGTTGCTCTGCCCGCCTCTCAATGTCACCGTGTGAGTCAACCTGCACAACCGGCGGTTGCTCTTCTCCTGTGGAAGCATTACCGGTCGGCAGCTCCTCGGAGCTCCAGCGACGGCCGATGCGCCGAGCCCGTTCACGCAGCTCTGCCCATGACAAGTTCGAGAGCTGCATAGGTAGTTCTCCGTCAGTCTCCTTGGGCATCACTTCCTCTTGTGCGATCGGTAACTCCTCGGGGATCCAACGACGTCCGATGCGGCGGGCCTGTTCCCGCAGTTCCGCCCATGACAGGTCCGAGAGCCTTGAAGAGCTCATCATCGAACCAGTTGTAGAACTCGTCCCCGGTTGAGAGTTGTGAAAAACTCAATTCTCGAACCAGGCTCTGATACCAAATGTTAGAAACCTATTTCTAGGGTTCTAACGATCGAGTGATAAGATTGGGAATTGATAGATATTTAGGGATTGAGATAGAATTGGGGAAGAACAGAATTGGGGATTAGGGATTTAGAAGAGGAAATTGGGGATCGAGGAGAAGAATGGCCGACGGCCTAGGGATAGGTGATGAATTTGAGAGAGATTAGGGTTTGAGATACTTTTCTGAATAATGGTTCTTGCTTGATTATGAATAAAACGCCAAGTACATATTTATAACGAAAGACAGGAAAACCTAATACTAAACCTAATTCTACTAAAAGACTACTAACCATATTTAATAAAACCTAATAATAATGATAATGATAATGATGATATAGAAACCCGTTTCTGTTAGAAAACGTGTTTCTAACAATTTCTTTGTAACAGAAATGACTTAGTTTTCTAGGATACTCAAATAATGTTGAAATACTATGTCAATAAGGTATGTAACACTCTTCTCCCTCGAAAATGAAGAAGTTTCTTGGTATAGACTGATTTGGAGCAAATGATGTCCACCAGGTTTAGTTTCGTTATTTGGCTGGTTGTATTTGAAGCTATCACTGCAAAGTTTAAATTGCTCCAATGGGGGAAGACATCAAATGCAACTTGTGGGTTATGTGATGCAATGCCTGAGACTAGGGAGCACTTAAACTTTCAGTGCTCTTATTCAGCCAACTTGATAACTAGTTTGAGCAGTTCTTCAATGTTCAGAACTCAGAAGGTTGTCATGGGCAAATACTTTAGCATAAGCTTGCAAAATCTCTCGACATAACCTTGCATCAGGGAGAATCTGTTGCTTGCTGTGGTATGTGTTTGTCACTTATATATGGCATGAAAGGTATAGGTGTGCTCATGGTGAGGTGAGGAGAGCAGTGCCAGTGGCAGCCAAGCTAATAAAGCAAGACCTGCCGTTCCTAGGGACTTCAAGTGCAGCATTACAAGAGGATTTACACAGTATTGGTATTGTATAGAGTTTAGTTTGTTATACAAATTATAGACTACAATTGTGGCCTGTTATGTAGGTAGATAGGTGGTTGTTTTTCAGGACGAAAATGCCTTGATTCCTCCCCTTCGTTGTATCAAGCTTGTTATTGCAAAGTCGGTAATACGAAAGAAAACAAATGAAGACAATTTCGAAGTATGTTTGAGCTTAGTGATTCCATAGCAACAAGATCAATGACTTTCTGGCTCCAGCTCTAGTTGTTTGAATTGCATCCCTATCAAATAGATAATCCAATAAGAGCCGTCATGAAACAGAGAACAGTATATTCATTCACATCGAAGGTCAATCCCATGTTTCGCTCTATACAGAAATATGTTGAGATATAGCAGTCGGTTTGAGACTTGAAATTTATTTTTCACATCTTCTATCCCCCCCTAAGAACCCAAATTATTATCATTTATATAACGAGGTTCCAAAACAAGCCCAGTATTGCATGAATCTGAATGAGGCCAACCCTATATTTCCTTGTACAGCAGCTGATACTTGGGTATTCGCTCAGGAGGCAAGGGACAGCTCACTATCAGCTTGCCTTTCATGGCTCCTCTGAATACAGCCTGCAAGAAACAGTAGCAATATTTTTGTTCAGCTTCAACTACATGCGGTGATCTGAGAAGCAGAAAGAGTGTCTACCGTCAATAGCAAATGCAGAAACATAGTAAACAGAAATAATCCACAATGAGTTCTGTACTACGAGGCTAAAAGCCACAGCAGCCACTTTGTTTCTTGTCAGCAAATAGCTAACCATTACATTTTCCCTATACTATGCACAAGACAGCAGACGTACAAGACCTGCAACTACCACTTTCACAACAATATACAGCATACTTCATACCCTTTTTCAAATTTGGTTAGGCAGAGAGGTTTCTTTCTCAAAGTATTTAAACTTGGCAAGCCGTTTCTAGCTAACTTCATCTAACTGCTAATGTTTCCTGTACCGAATTATGTTCTAAAAACTAGTATGGTTTTTCTTCACACTCCAATACTGGCCGACTGAATACTCAAACTTAGGAGTCAGACAGTAATGCAGAGGTAGAATGATGTGATATCTATGCTTCTTGAGTTTGAAGCTTCCTTCCCCTACGAATGTGCCCATCCGTCCCAATTCCTAACACATTATAAGACACAGGCCTTTTTCATCTACATCACAATTCACAAGTTATCTATTGCCATGCTAAGTGCAATCAGTTGCCACATCAGGGGAATCTAAGTTTCCCCACCTATTGCTATAGACTTAATCTTGACAGTTCCCATCTTTCTTCATTCAATGGTTCAAGAGACTAACAGTTTTACAGTAGTAACTGAGACAAAATGCAGAGAGCAAAAACAAAGGGGAAAACAAAAGGCATACCTCAACGACATCAATGAAGTCTTGTTTTGTATGAAATGCACCAACCCATTTGGTGTGATCAGCAGTCCTGAATCAGCAAAACCCAAAGAACAGAACAGACCAAACTTAACGCATAAATGTTGTACAATCGAGAGGAACCGAGAGATACACACACAGAGGAGAGAAATTTTAAAGTGGGGAGGGAGGATACCCAGAATCCATCTTCATGTGGTGAGCGTTGAAGAAGAAAACCGAGGAAGGAACCAATGTGATGTCGAAGTACTTGACGTAGACCTGGACATCTTCAGAATCGATGTCCACAACAGCGACGGTTGCGAATTTGGAGACCTCGCGCGCAGATTTGGACAGCTGCCGGAGCATGGAATAAAAAAGATCATTCACCGAAAAGATCAGCCGATGGATGGAGAGAGAGAGGAATGTTGTGAGGATTCATACAATGTCGTCGAGCTGGAGGCAAAGGGCATCGGAAGCGCGACCGAAGCGGAGGACGAGGACCTTGTCGATTGTATCTCTGATGATGGAGTCCACCTGCTTCTTCTTCGTCAGATTCGGCAGTAGATAGCTCATTCTCCCTCGCGTCTTCCTCGGGGGTAATCTTCGGCTCTGGCTCTGGCTACAGCTGCGCTGCCCCTCCCAGATTTTCACTTCCTCGGTTGATCATCAACCGAGCAGGTATCAGCGGCGCCCCGGCAAATATACACGCCGTCCACAATTTTCTTGGATCTTCGCAACTTTGCCCCGTATAGAAATTTCTTTGCAAAACCTTCCTTATTGCCAAGGTTGACCCGCAGGTTGGCTCTTTGACCCAGTGAGAAAAACAGGCTGTACATATCCATCGGGTCGTCCCACTGTAAGGTATCGAATTGGAGGTCAAATGACGTCGTCTTTCCTTTGGTTTGTGAAATGTGCCTATTTTTAGAATTTTCTTTTCGCCTAACCTAATCTTTGGGATTCTAAGTTGAACATTTGAAGATTAATGTTATATAAGTATGTGTGAATTTTCACTATATGTTGGATCCAAATAATAATGTTATATGTTATTACTCATATGTTTGATGAAATTTTATATTATTTATATATGTATGAACAATATAATGAGGTTTACCATATATCCGGGCTAAAGCGGTCGACCCATTAACCTTCAACCTACTTTCTCGACTGGGTCAACGAGTTAAACCGGTTTGATAACCTTGCTTATTGCACACAGAACATACACCCCAGGCCCCCACAAATACTTGTGCACACCTAACCTTCAGGGGTCATTAGAATTTTTTGTCATAATCATCTCAACAATTACATCTGATGATTTTTTCAAAAGTTCATCCATCTATTATCTATATACACTGAGTACATTGAATCTCAGAGTTTTTACAAAGATTCTTTCACCTCAAAATGCATTTCATCAATTAAGGCTTGATTATTTTTTTATGGCTCATGGAACTCTCTCGTTCTTTGTTGATATTAGATTTACCTAGAATGTTACATTACACCTCTTTAGGATTCAACGTCTTTATTGAGATTTGCCCCATCATTTTTTAAGTGGGACGCAAGAGGCTTTGATACCAATGAGACTTCTTGAAATGAATTCTATGCCGTGTCTCTTTATCAAGGCAAAACCAAATTTTCAAAGGTCTCCCTTCATGGATGTATTGATGGTCGTCTATGATGTTTCATTTGATTTTGATAAAAAGAAGAAAGAATAGGTCTCTAAGACGGCACCACAAACTATATCAGTTAATGAACCTTCCTCAAATATCTTATCAAATGTGATGACTTATACTTCGTGTTATCGATGATAACCTCAAATTTAATGAGAACTTGGAATGGACTGAGTCTTAGAAGTAATTATCTAGTTTATGTAAAAAGAAATGGATCTAGGTATTCAAGCTTTCTCGAAGAACAGGGAAAGAGGGGAAAGGAAACAGAATCGAGAAAGGAAAGGAAGAAGAAGATAGAAAAGCAGACTTCAGCTTTCTGTCTTTCAACTTCGATGGGCCTAGAAGGCTTAGGCCAGCGGGCTTTTGCTCACAGTTGGATGGGCTTGAAGAACAACCAGTCAAAGCCCACACAACTTAATGTAATCCTCTTCAGCAAGGACGTTTCCAGGAGCAGAAACTAAATGAACCAACACCAGACTTGCAGAACGATGAAAGGCAGGAAAGAACAGAAGCACAGAGTTTTTTAATGTGGTTCACCCAGTGCAATGGCTACTTCCACATCCCAGAGATCAGCATCTGATGTACTCCAAGAGATTTTATTTTTGTAAATAAAAGACACCAACCTAAGCTAAGGCTTAGCCTTCTGCCGTGATTCCAAACAGAAATCACAAAATACAACCTTGTGTAATCAGATCCTACACCTCTTATTTACACAAGCCCTTTGATCCCTAGAACCCTTTCCCGCTCTAGTATTTCAGCCTATCAAAGTTGCAGTAAACCAGGCGCTATCATCCTTTAAATAGATGCAGGGATTGCTAGCCGTTGGAGATGATTTGTCCGTTGGAGAGCTCCTTTGATATTGGAGAAAACTTGCCCAAGACCTGCAAAGAATCAGATCCCTGAAATTGTGGAGAGCTTTCCATATTTGCTTCAATCAAGCACCAATTTCTCCAACAATCTCCCTCTAAATTGGTGATTGCAAGTGAATAGATCCTGCAGCCAAAAAAACAGAAACACAGACTCCACACAAAAACAACAATGCAGAAAGAACAAACCATCCACACAAAAAGCACCATTCAAAATCAACCAACCAGTCAAAACAAAAAAAACAACCAATCCTCAAAACAGCAAAACATAGAAGCTTACAGAGCCTCCCTCTTAACACTAACTCCCCGAAAATTCAAACTCTCAAAACCTCCCTCTTAACATTCAAATCCTCAAACAGATTCTTCATCAGAGCTGTAGTCCACCAACAGACCAGCAACAGCTGCGGCAACCAAAGGAACAGGACCAGGACCAAAAACATCGCTGTCATCGGAATCGTAGTCACTTTCTGCTGCAGCCCACCCCCCCTTCAATTGCAATCTCCAGAAGATCAAGAACTTGATCTGTCAGTAAGTGGAACATAGGATACTCGGTAATGAAGGGAGCAATGGAGATGCCCAAACGAATAGCCAAGCGAGTGATCTGTCCTCCTAGGGGCAGAGAACCTGGATAGGAGGAGTCTGCATATGTAAGGAAAGTACCAAACACCAGAAGGGAATAGTCGAGAGGCACACCATGCACAGCATGCGTCATGATCCAAAGATCAAGGGGTAGAATGCGATCCAGAGCTTGAGAGCGAGGAAGAAAGATCCTGGTGATAGCAAAATGAAGCACACGCATCTGGGGAAGGACCAGGTTAACTGGTAGGGACATATCTGGACCAGAATGAAGGCCAGTGAGTTGAACAAACTCATCAACGACGTTAAAATTGAACTGCCAGAATTCAGAGGCATGAGCTAAGGATTCCCCCTCTGTGGGAAGCTCAAGAAAGTTTCCCAGGTCGGCAACAGGAATGGTCACAAGGTGGCCAAACATGACAGTAGAGAAACAGCGGGAATGGAGTCCAAAAGAGCGAAGGTTGGAATAAAAATAACGGACAATTTCAGGACAGATGAGAGTAGGAGGATCTATCAAGAGGGAATCCCACCCAAGATTGTGAATAAAACCCCTTATGTCCAGCCCATAATCCACAAACTCAGGAAGAGGGACTTGAACAGGAATGGTAATATCACGATCTGCATACGCAAGCGCATGACGATGATGACTCCGAGCGATAGGCTCAAAGAACATGGAGCCAGTGAAGGAGTGAGCAAAGACTGGATTCATGATTTGAGGCAGGAAGACTAGGACGAGAGAATGAGGAGAGGTCGACGAAGAGACACAGATAAATAGAAGAAAATAAACAAGGAAGCTGAACCAACTAGGTAAGGCAATCAATTAAGAAAAATCAAACAACAAGAGAAAAGGAAACTACTTAAAACTACGCAGGGAAGAATAACTCAGCAATTAAGTAGTAAGCAGATCTTCGAGATTTTCAAAAGATCGCAGCCCAATTTCATAACATAGGAAAGTAAATCGTTCAGCAGACAACGGTTTAGTGAACAGGTCTGCAAGCTGAAATTCAGTGGGAACATGACTGATAGAAATGATATGATCATGCACAAGTTCACGAATAAAATGAAATTTAACCTCTATATGCTTAGTTCGAGAGTGTTGGACAGGGTTTTTGGTCATGCATATAGCACTGGTGTTATCACAGAATAAAGGAATATCAGACATACACATACCATAATCACTGAGTTGGTTTTTGAGCCAGAGCAGCTGAGTGCAACAGCTACCTGCTGCAATATATTCGGCTTCTGCTGTGGACAAAGCCACTGCCCCTTGTTTCTTTCAGGACCAAGACACCAATGATGTCCCAACGAATTGGCAAGTCCCACTCGTACTTTTTCTATCAGTGAGACTTCCACCAAAGTCGGAGTCACTGTATCCTATCAACTCGAAGGAGTTATTACGCGGATACCAAAGACCAACAGTAGGAGTACCCTTTAAATACCTAAAGATGCGTTTAACCGCAGCTAGGTGACTTTCCTTAGGATTTGCTTGGAACCGAGCACACAGACAAACACTATGTTGAATGTCTGGTCGGCTGGCAGTCAAGTAAAGCAAAGATCCTATCATACCTCTAAACTTTTTCTCATCAACAACCTTTTCTTGATCATCTCTATCTAACTTTAAGTTAACAGCCATGGGAGTGGGACTAGAATTAGCATTAGACATATCAAATTTTTGCAGCATGGTATGAATATATTTCGACTGACTAATGAAAATACCATGCCTAGATTGCTTGAATTGCATTCCAAGGAAAAATTGTAATTCCCCCATCATGCTCATTTCAAACACAGATTGCATGGACTTACAAAACTCAGAGCACATCCTAGAATCAGTTGACCCAAAGACAATGTCATCCACGTAAATTTGAACAATAAGGATGTTTGAGGATGATTTTTTGATGAAAAGAGTTTTGTCTACTGATCCTTGAGTAAAATCCTGATCTTTGAGAAAAGTGGTCAGCCTGTCATACCAAGCTCTAGGGGCCTGTTTTAAACCGTAAAGAGCTTTGTTTAGTTTAAACACGTGATCTGGGAATTGGTGGTCAGTGAATCCAGGAGGCTGAGCAACATATACTTACTCTTGAATTACCCCATTCAAGAAAGCACTTTTGACATCCATCTGATATAAAGGAAATTGCATACGACTAGCAAAGGCACATAACAAGCTGATAGATTCGATGCGAGCAACAGGTGCAAACGTTTCATCGTAATCTATTCCTTCTTCTTGACAATAGCCTTGTGCTACAAGTCTAGCTTTGTTCCTTATAACATTTCCTAACTCATCAGTTTTATTTCTATAGACCCATTTAGTTCCTATTATAGTTTTACCTTTAGGTCTAGGCACAAGTTCCCAAACATTCAAGTAGCTAAATTGAGTAAGTTCTTCTTGCATAGCAAGATTCCACTTCTCATCATTCAATGCTTCTCTAAGATTTTTGGGCTCAACTTTGGAAACAAAAGCATATTGACCAGGAGTATACTTACCTCTGGTTTTTCGACTGTCATTTATACTTCCAATGACTTGAGCTTCTGGATGTCTCTTCTGAATATGTGGAGGTGCTTGAGGCTTGCTTGCTTCAGCATTTGTGCGGCTGATTTCTTGAGAATTATCATGAGAGGTTTCTGCAGTTGTCTCTTCATTTATGGTTTCTTCAGTGCTTTCTCCACTATAGTTGATTCTTGCATTGCTTTCAACCTCAGAGCAGTTATTAGGAGCTAAATGACTGATGTCATGGAGTAAGTCAGTAAGGTCGACCACCACACTTCCTGTTCTTAGACCATCAGATAAAGGGTTAGTTTCATCAAATTTAACGTGCACAGATTCCTCAACCCTTTTGGTCCGTTTGTTGTAAATTCTATATGCCTGTCCTTTTAAGGAATAGCCCAAGAAGATAGATTCATCTGATTTGGCATCGAATTTACCAAGATTGTCCTTTGTGTTTAGTGAAAAACACTGACAACCAAAAGGATGAAAGTATGATATATTAGGTTTCTTACCCTTCAGAAGTTCATAAGAATTTTTGTTCAAGATTTTTCGGGTCAAAAATCTGTTGGTAACATAACAGGCTGTACTGACAGCCTCAGCCCAGAAAAATTTAGGAAGGTCATAGTCCAAAAGCATCGTTCTAGCTGTTTCTATGAGGATTCTGTTCCTTCTCTCAACTACCCCGTTTTGTTGTGGGGTACGAGGAGCAGAAAAAGTATGGTTGATCCCATTTTCCTCACAAAAATCAGCAAACTCATTTGATATGAACTCTCCTCCATTGTCACTTCTCACAGTCTTAATAGTATTGTTCAATTTAACAAAAGTTCTGAACTTAGAGAAGGTTTCATCCTTTTGAGCAAGAAAGTATACCCAAGTGAATCGTGAAAAGTCATCAACAATTACAAAGGCATAATTTTTACCACCAAGACTAGTCACATTACAGGGACCGAAGAGATCCATATGGATCAACTCAAATGGGTGATGAGAAGTAGTATCCGATTTAGGTTTAAATGGCTTTCTTGCATGCTTTCCAGCAGCACATGCCTTGCAGAAAAAGTCATTTCTGTCTTTTAAAAGCGGAATACCACGAACTGCATCAGACTTTGAAAGACTGGCCAGTTTTTGAAGATTAACATGGCCGAGTTTCTTATGCCACAACATCTCTTGATAACAGGTTAAAGACACTAAACATTTTTCATTAAACGCACTCAAATTTTGAAAATCTATCACATACATGTTGTTAGTGCGTTTTCCAACGAACATAATTTGGTCATCTTTCAGCCTTTTCACTAAACAATGTGAGGCTTCAAAGGTGACTCTGTTTCCATTACTACATAGTTGACTAATTGACAATAAATTATGCTTTAATCCATCAACTAACAACACATTCTTGACGGAAGGAAGAGGTGATTTCCCAATGGTTCCTCTGCCAACTATGATACCACAGTTGTCATCACCAAAGTATACTTTTCCTTCTGTTTTGAACGCAAGATTTGAGAATAGAGAAGCATTACCCGTCATATGGTGGGAACAGCCACTATCAAGATACCATTCATGCTGAACTTCGTCGGAAATCTTTGGGAGACTTATATTTTGTTGAGAGCTTTCTGATCCTTCTTCCATCCTGGCCATGTAAGCAACCTCATGGTTGTGTTCTTCCTCTGAATCGCTTTCATAATCGCTCCATGATGCCTTCATGGCTCTCTCTTTAGCTTTCATAGTTTGAGGGCAGTGAGCCCTAATATGACCCATCTTACCGCATTTGTAACAGGCTTGTGGCTCCCTTTCATTCGCTTCCAGGTCCTTTTCCTGTCCAACAAATGTTTCTGAAGGAGCATTTCTAACACGATTAGTTCTGTTAGTATCATAAGATCGATCATTATACCGAGAGTTCTGCTTCTGATGACGAATAGGACCATTTGACGACCTGTAATTCTGATCTTTACTAGGCATGTTTAGACGATTTCGACTATCTTGATAATTTCGCTTTTGATCATTCTTGTATTTCAGCATACGCTGATATTTCTTGGTGATCAAGGCGAACTCCTTTTCGAATTCGATATCCACTTCTCCATCAGACTCATACTCATAAGCATGTGACATAAGCGCCAATTTTTGCACTCTCCTATCATTTTCATACTCATATTCATTGAATCGAGACTGAAACGCTAAATTTTTCTTGCGCCTATCTTCATCCTTCCCAACCTGTCTTATAACATGCTCATGACTCATCAGAGATCCAATTAGCTCATCTACAGCTAAAGTGTTTAAATTTTTAGCTTCTTCTATAGCCGTTCTTTTCGGCAGCCATTCTCTAGGTAAGGAATGCAGGATTTTTCTAACCAATTCCTTAGAAGTAAAAATCTTCCCTAACCCTTTCAGCTTATTAGTGAGCCCAGTAAACCTCGAATACATATCATGAATACTCTCACCTGGGATCATGTCGAAGACTTCGTACTCGTGGAGAAGCAAATCAATTCTGGTCTCTTTGATGTTTGAAGTTCCTTCATAGGTTGCTTCTAGCGTAGCCCGGATCTCCCTTGCGGTTTCGCACTGTTCAACCTTGTCGATTTCTTCCGGCGACATGGCAGTCTGTAAGATGTGCATAGCTCTGCAGTTTAGCTGAGCGCTTTTCTTCTGGGCATCAGTCCATTCGTTTTGACGATCCATATCCATCTCTCCTGGTCCATCACGATTGATTCCCCACAGATCCGCATCAATTCCCCACATGAATGTCTTCATTTGTTTCTTCCAGGCATTGTAATTTGACCCGGTGAACCAAGGAGGATTATTGTGGGAGGTAGGACCAAACGTGGACTGAGAGTTTGTTGCCATGGATCGATTTACCCTTGGTAGTAGTTAACCTCCTCAAGGGCAGGCTCTGATACCAATTGTAAAAAGAAATGGATCTAGGTATTCAAGCTTTCTCGAAGAACAGGGAAAGAGGGGAAAGGAAACAGAATCGAGAAAGGAAAGGAAGAAGAAGATAGAAAAGCAGACTTCTGCTTTCTGTCTTTCAACTTAGATGGGCCTAGAAGGCTTAGGCCAGCGGGCTTTTGCTCACAGTTGGATGGGCTTGAAGAACAACCAGTCAAAGCCCACACAACTTAATGTAATCCTCTTCAGCAAGGACGTTTCCAGGAGCAGAAACTAAATGAACCAACACCAGACTTGCAGAACGATGAAAGGCAGGAAAGAACAGAAGCACAGAGTTTTTTAATGTGGTTCACCCAGTGCAATGGCTACTTCCACATCCCAGAGATCAGCATCTGCTGTACTCCAGGAGATTTTATTTTTGTAAATAAAAGACACCAACCTAAGCTAAGGCTTAGCCTTCTGCCGTGATTCCAAACAGAAATCACAAAATACAACCTTGTGTAATCAGATCCTATACCTCTGATTTACACAAGCCCTTTGATCCCTAGAACCCTTTCCCGCTCTAGTATTTCAGCCTATCAAAGTTGCAGCAAACCAGGCGCTATCATCCTTTAAATAGATGCAGGGATTGCTAGCCGTTGGAGATGATTTGTCCGTTGGAGAGCTCCTTTGATATTGGAGAAAACTTGCCCAAGACCTGCAAAGAATCAGATCCCTGAAATTGTGGAGAGCTTTCCATATTTGCTTCAATCAAGCACCAATTTCTCCAACAGTTTATGACGGTAAAAAAGGGCTAGTAGAGAGGCAATTCAAATTTGGTTTTTTTTCTTCCTTTTACAGTTTATCTTATGTTTTCTAGATTAGTGTTTGAATAAATATCTCTTGAATGTGTGTCTTTCTCATATTGTGTGCCTTAACCCGCCTTAAAATATTAAAATGAATTCAAAATCGATCTTTTTTTCCTTCTCTATTGGTTCTTCAATATGATAAACTTATTTCTATATACTTTTACCTCGTGTTACATACATTGGGAACAATGTGTTGTATAAGTGTAGAGCTGATGTAGTTTGTACTTGTATACTAATGTTTGTATGTTTTATGTGTTAGCTTTTTTTATTTACAACGAAGCTGTTTGCACTTCGTAAATGGAACAAAGTGTATGATACATGATACAGACTACAAAACCTACGGAGTCGCTATAAATAAATAAATAGATTGCATATAGGTCATCCTTACTTAATATAATAGCTATTCAAAACAAAAGTAGCGCCACATCAGCACATGGAGTGCTGATGCCTCTCACACGTCATTGTACATTTTCCCAAAAATTTTGCCCTTCTAAAATTGTATAGGCGAGTGTGTTTCCTCGGTTGGCCAGCCTCCATTAATTGCCCATCAATATAGGAATAATTATTATTGCCAAGTAAATTGTTTGGATAAATGTAGTTTCCCCTTCTAAAATTGGATACAAGTTCACTTCGTATCCCTCTGCTACCCGTGGAAAAGTCCCCGTTTCTGGACTAAACATAAGTAATCGGCAACAACATCGATCATGTCACTCACGCCAACACAACTTATTTAGTAGCAACAGACTGACGGTATGTTCCTGGATCATTCATGGATTTTATGTCGTAGCTCTTCCAAATTCTTTTTCTCCATATCAATATATCAACATTTTTTTGGGTATCCGTTTTTAAGACTGATTGCTCCTGATGTGTATGTAGCAAAAGCTGATTTTATAGCACAATCAAGGTCAATCAAGTCCTTAGTTATTAGAATAGCAAGAATGAAACGACGGATCGTGTTATACTCAAAGAGAATGGTTGTACCAGCATTCTGGTACTTGAGGTATTTTAAATTACCTTGAATTTTTTCGTAAAAAAAAAGTTACCTTAATTTTGGAATGGTCTATATTTTGGTTTTTATGGATGGATTCAAAATCTAATCTCCAATCAATATTACAGGTTGCAACTATTAACTTTTTAACCTAAATGCTAAAGTCGAATGCATGAATAGAAAGATCAGAATAATTGTTGCCAAAACAAAACAAAAAAGGACATATAAAAAGACAAGTATCATTGCGTACACCCAAAACAAATAATAAATAATATGACAACACGATGCCAAATTCATGAAGAGGTTGCTGAGCTGAGAAGATAAGATAGGACTTCTATGGTGATCATGCCTCAAATTTCAGTTAATTCATGGTGTAAAATAGCAAAATTCGATAGATGCATGATAAAGTTAGCGCAAGACAGTTGTACGCTAGCCTGAACCATATTTCAATAATAACGCAATCTTAAATCGCACACTCAAACATGAAGAACCAACATTGCAAACAAAAAAAAACATAAAAATACAAGTATCATTGCGTATGCCGAAAACCGATAACAAATAATATGACTTCGCGATGCAAAATACAAAAAGCTCACTAATATGCACCGCCCAACGGGTGGGCACATACCTTATATGGTGATTGTGAATGATGATTTAACATACTTGTGAGTTGTGATTGCTTGGAGCCTTATGTATATTCCCAACTTTTTTCAAAATGAAGGGCACCAAGCGAAGAGGATTGTTTGAAGCCTTGTATATATTCCCAACATTTGTTCAAAATTAAAGGCTCCAAACAACCTCATAGCTTAAAATGTGTTGGAGAGGGATGAGCTAGAAGATTTGTTTTAAGGTTAGATTTTAGATGATAATATTATGAATTGAAGAAGGGTAATTAGAGGAAATTAAACTTCATGTGGGTTGGGATGTTATGTTTCATTAGAGTTGGAATATGGTGCAATTTGATCCAGATCATACCATATATATGGTTATAGTTCGAACCCGGATACTGGAGCGCAGACCAAGGGTCCGACCAAATATTATGTGATCCAGACCAAACCATGCTCGTGTTTCGTGGGCCGGTACGATTTAGACCACACATACCACGTTGAGTAAAAAATCAACAATTTATCTGATCCAACACTCAAGAAATTGAACCAACAACCGAGAAAAAACAACTTTTTCGTCTTAAAACTTAAATTCAACATGCATGGACAATTTTGATACACTAAATCCAAGTGAATAACATAGACACAAGGTCTGAGCAAACCACCTTCCACCATAATGTCATATAACACTAACATAAATTTTCTTAATTCATATGTAGAGTGTGATATATGAATGAAGAAAGGGTGGATTTTCAAAATTAAGGTTGAGACTTGAATTGTTATTGGCGAGTATGGAGAGTGGTCGACTTGGCTGGTAAATCTAATTGGGAAGCGAGTTTGGTCTACGGTCTACAGTCTACTTTTATAAACCGCGATCTGGACCAAAACAGACCAAGAGATCAAAACATCTCATAATACAGACCATGGATCAAACCAAATCACTTTTAACGGTCTATATTCCGTACAATACTAGCGGAATATGTTTATAAAACTTGATGGTCTGGTCTAGCAACGCAGCTCAAAGTTCGATATATTTTAAGCAGTAATTAGGTATATATAAGGAATTTTTGTCGATAAGGTATACATGTTGGGGTTAAAAATCCATAATATGTTTTCTTCCTGCATGTAATTTTCACCTTGGATTTCTGTTATAAAAATGTGGAGGAGGCAAAAATAGTGAAAACTGTTTCCCTACCTATCAGCAAGAGAGCAACAATCGAATAAACTTATGGTGACAATCCACGTGCGAATTACACACCGTGGAAGTAGAAACGAAACGATACCAATGTCAACCAACTTTGGAGGTCACGCGCCGGGTACGCGAGTGATGGGTCAACTTTATCCACCACTGGTAAACGGCCACGTCATCCAAAATCGTTTAAAATTTCCAAAAGAAATGCGATGCACCGTCCCACAAAAACAAAAAAAAAAATGGTTTTGAGGAAAAATAATTTGATTTCATTTATAAAGGTAACTACTAACATCATTAAGCCTTGTGAAGATTCTCTGCAGTGGTGTAGTGGTCTTCTTCTAGGGTTTTATAAGGGGTTTCTAACTTCTACCCTTCTCTCCCTCCACCACTGCCCTTCCCGCTCCTCCTCTCCTTCATAAACAGAGAGAAGAGAGCGAGCTAGAGATATAGATAACGCCATGGATATGTACACGAGAGTCGAGAAGCCGAAGCCGGAGTCGCCGATTAACGAGAACGAGATCCGAATCACCTCCGCTGGTCCCGTCAGAAACTATATCAGCTACGCTACTTCCCTTCTCCAGGTACTACGAATTACTAACTTGCTTTGTTACTCTTGTGTTTTTGAACTTTTATCACGAGTTCGACGATTACATTTTGCTTCTGATTTGGGTGACGATTTGCCCCGGTTCTGTTCGTTTTTTCATTTTGTGATGGCTGGCATTTGTTTGGGATTCTTCGGGTCCTTCCATTTGTCGCATTTGGTGTTGGGCTGCGCTGCATTACGAATAGGATGCCTGTAGGTTTTCGGTTGAATGTGGGTTACTGCGTGTCCAGTTTCTGATCGTCTTGTAAGTGAGCGTCCGGTGTTTTCGTTGAATTTTGCCAGGACAAACATGCCAAAGAGATTGTCTTGAAAGCGATGGGACAGGCAATCAGCAAGACCGTGTCCATTGCCGAGAGCATAAAGGTTGTTTGGCTTTCGAAAAACTTTGGTAGTATTCCTTTCACACCTCAACTGTCCCTCTGTGTATTACAGACTGATTAGCGATTGCTGTCTTGGCACAGAGAAGAAATCCCCGTTTGCATCAGGATACTGGCATTAGCTCAGTTAGCATTACTGATGTTTGGGAACCTATTGAGGAAGGACTTCTGCCGTGAGTATTTGATGGGTTTGCAGATTCGACTTTTTCTCTGTGTTATGGGTGTAGACTTCATATTGATTTTGCGGCATTCATCTGCTGATTGTGTCTTCTATTCTTTATTGTCTAATCCTAAGTATTCAATATTCCATGCAGTGTGGAGCAGACTCGCCAAGTTTCTATGATCACAATTACCTTATCATTCAGAGAGCTAGATAAGAACTCTCCTGGGTAAGTTCATGTAATCTCACTTCTTTAGATATCTGATTTGTTAAGTGAGCAGATTAGTTTAGCAATCTATGGCTTGCTTAACTTTTTTTTTTTTCATTGAGCTAAGAATGCAATCCCTACATGATGTGCTGGCTTCTGTAAGTTTTATGATTTTTTTTTTCAAGTTCCACTTAAGTGATCTTCTGCTACTTATATATAATTTTGCGTACCCTTGTGTTCTTGATACCGTACTGAAAATGTATGATCTTGGTGATTCTTTGCTTATAGTTATCAAGCACCACAAGCTGTGGAACAGTCAAAACAGCAATATCAGCAGCAGTCACAGCTTAGACAAGCTCGGAATCCATATTACGAAGGTAACTTGGAGTTGAATGTGATTGTAGAAGTATTTGCATCATCCTAACATGTTAATCATGTTATCTTTAGATTCATATGGTCGAGGACGTGGGCGTGGCAGAGGGAGAGGGAGAGCAAGAGGGCGAAACTGGGGCAGGGGTGGATATGGGTATGGAAACTATCAGGGAAACTACGAAGGGAATTATCAGGGAGGGTATCAGGGGAATTATCAGGGAAATTATGAAGGTACCACTTCTATTGTCTACTCATCAAATTAGTGACTTTAGTCCTGATGGTTATCCCGAATGAGACCAGTTTCTTATTAGACTTTCTTATATCAGAAAATGGTGGTTATTCGAACTGGGGACGGGGTGGTGGCAGAGGCAGAAATTGGGGATATCGAGGTAACCTCATGCTAAGGGTTTTATGTTGTAATATTTTCTTCAATTTTGCTCGATTTTGTTTCGGGATTACAAAGATATAATGACTGTCATTACTTTGGTGCTAAGACTGTGTTTCACCTGCTGTGTCAAACAGTTGTCTCTCTGCTTACATGTCTTTTTGGACTTGGATTCTTGTTTTGTTTGAGTGACTCTAATCTTGTCATGCACTTGATGGCTTGGGATGAAGGTGCTGGTTACGGAGGGGGCAGAGGTGGTGGATACGAAGGAGGAAGAGGTGGTGGTGGATATGAAGGTGGCAGGGGTGGCGGATATGAAGGTGGGAGAGGTGGCGGATATGAAGTTGGCAGGGATGGTGGATATGAAGGTGCGAGAGGCGGTGGATATGGTGGCAGGGGTGGCGGATATGAAGGAGGCAGGGGTGGAGGAGGGAGGAGAGGCAGTGGATATGAAGGTGGCAGGGGTGGCGGATATGAAGGTGGGAGAACTGGTGGATATGAAGGAGGCAGGGGTGGCGGTTATGAAGGTGGGAGAAATGGTGGATATGAAGGAGGCAGGGGTGGAGGGAGAGGAGGGGGCAGGGGCTATGGGCGTGGGCGTGGAAGGATGGGCGGTCGTGCAAGGGGTGGCAACGACCAGGCATGACAAGGAAGATGATGAACCGTGCTCTTCAGTTTGATTTTGCAAAATGCTTTGCCTTGGCCGGTGGGCTACATTATTATCCAAGTACTGTTTTAGTAGCATGCAATTGGGTCTTGCATGTTGTCTTCTGCATTTGGTTTTAGCTCTTGTATGCGTCGAGTGCTTATGAATACGGACAGGCAAGGTTGATTTTCTGTTGGTTGGTCCCTCTTTTTCTTCATTTAGCCAAAGAGCAAAGAGGAGGTGGTTTCAAGTGAGATGTAAGTAGAGTAAAAAACAATCACACTTCAGTCTGAAATCCTTACCCTGTTCATATATCTGTTAGTGCCATCATTATTATTTGTTCGATAGTTCCTTAATGGCTTGCTGGTGTGATTGGCTCGCTACTTTCTTTACTAGCATAGGCATAGCCTGCGCCGGGTGGCAATTGCAAGCTATAATTTGGTCACTTTGTTATTTGGGCTGGGAAACAGTTAAACTTAGACGGGATCATGTATATGGTGTAGCTTCTATGGTACAGACTTGAGGGCATGATGTACAGATTATGGACCAGACAAACTATACGGTTTAGATCAGGTCACGTCTATGTGGTTCGGTACCTACAAGTTAGTTCATGTTGAGCGAAAAAGAGAAGTTTTGTCTGGTCCACACCAATAAATTGATAATTTTTTTTTTATCTTGAAACATAAATTCTAATACATATATAATTCAAATAAATAACAAAAACACAAAGTCAGAGCAACCCAACTTCCACAATAAGGTCATAAATAATTAAATACTAACACTAACATAATGTTATATGAAAGCATGATCATTTCTAATCTCTTATGGAATGTGATTTATGAATGTAGGAGACACGATTCGAAAATTTTGGGTTGAGACTTGAATCTCGTTGGGGAGTGTATGTAGATTGGTCGAGTGGCTGCTAACATGAATTGAGAAGTGGAGTCTAAGGTTTGATCCGATGAACCGCGTTTTGGGCCAGACAAGAACCAAGAGATCAAAACATTGCATAATACCGACCATGGATCAAACCAAACCTTTTTTAACGGTCTACGATCCATACCAAATTGTGTGGTCCGATTTAGTCCACGATTTTTGAGAGGCCCTGTCTATTTTCTTAGCCCTAATCAATTATTATAAGCTCTATCCAGACATTGGTGCCTATGAAATATGATTAATTTTAATGACGGGAAGGGGGTCCACGTCTCCACGAAACCAAAGAAAAATGATAAGCCACCGAGTGCAACAACTTTTTTCCAAGAGGAAGTCCTTATTTGATGAAAGAGATGAGACAGTTCAAACTACGGTGCACCATGATGGTCGAGGTCACAACCCAAAAACAACCAATGGAGAAGTCTCCTATTGATGTGTTTGTGGTCTCCATTCAAATGAGTGTTCCGAAGAAGGCATAACAAAATCCTGAGCCACAAAGATCTTACATGGAGTTGCTCATGAAGGATAAGTGGTGTGTGGTAGAGTCCATCTCGAAAGACGGTGTCACGGCGATGAGAGTCCGAGAGAGGATGATCTGGAAAATATCATCCCAGAGAATGATGAACCAAAGTGCCCTACTATCCCATTCAGAGCCATAGAGAAACAACGCTACCATCGATTTGACAATGGCAATCAGCTTTCGTGCTAAAGGTGCTTGGCCAAACCTATTGGCTATTAGTGAAAATAGTGCTAATTATGGATCAAGACAAATGAAATATTTGGTATTTAATCACTCAATTTAGAAAACATTCAAAACAACTATAACCTTATAATTTGCCTTATGGTTAACACTTAAAATAAACTAGCTCACAAAAGAACTATATAACGCACAAGACATCTTTGTGCCTTTTTCTTTTCTTCCCGGCGATCTCTCTAATCACTCTACTAACAGCCTGTATTCCATACAACAGATATATATTGAAGCATCCTCAGTCCAATTCACTGCCTCCACGAGTTTCGTCAGACTTCGAATTGCTTTTCTGGACCGGTCTCATGCTTCGAAACATCATCAATGGCGTCGAATCATCCATCCTTTTTTCCCCGCCATCGTGAAACTTTAAATTTGCAGAACCCATAAATTCCAATCCGAAATTCGGAGTTTTTTTTATTCAGGTACCTCTAGGTTAATTCGATTGATCCTAGAGCATCCTGGGACTTCCCTTGATGATTCTGCAAGAGCCACTTGGGTCGAATCATCCCCGATTATTACAACTCATGCACTCGATTTTCCCCATGCTCGGCCAATTTCATAGGAGTTTTTGCTCGAATTGGATCCATCAATGGCACTGAATTCAAATCAATATGAGCAAGGAAAAACATGACTGGGGCCTCCTGGAAGGTGTGAGCGTCACTGGGTTGGTTTAACTCTTGCTCCAGAGTTCCCCCAATTCGTTCTCTCTCCTATTCTGCTTCGGCGAGATGGCACCGAGCTGTTGACGACGATGGACCTTCTGCTTCTTGTATCCAGTGAGCATGAACCGCCTGGCAGTTTTTCGAATTTGGCTTGAACTTTTGAGAAGCTTGAAAAATGTCCATCCTGGCATTCACTCGAACACCCCAAGCACTCTAGCCTGTAGAGAAGCTTTCCATCTTCAAAACAAACCTCTAATCTCCCATTTCCATCGAGCAAAACATGAGAAACAGGCATGCACAGTAAGCTTCATGAAACAGAATAAACACTTAGGGGTCGTTTGGATGAGGAATTCTAATGGATCAATCTGACACAATTGTCTCGTTTTGAGTCAATTGTGCTACATTGATCAGTTTGGCAGCAGAAAATTTGGATGAAGCAATTTGGGCTGGGGAATTCTGAATTGACTCATTTTGAGCCAATTACAATTGTCTGGGGTGGGGGCAGGTAATCTGAATTGACTCGTTTTAAATGACTCGTTTTGTAAAATGAAACAGTTGATCAAATTGTCTCGTTTTACAATTGATCCATCCAAACGACCCCTTAACTAATTTTGAGGGTTCTTGTTAGTTGGTGATATTGCTTCTCGATCAAGAAATAAAAACTTTTAGGATGAGCCAATTGAGATCATATCTCTTGCCTTGTTTTTACTTGATCAAGTATGGGAAGGACTCGTGAACTCAACCCAACGAGCATGCCTCTTGTTCAATTTGTGTTGGGCCTTCAATTGCTTCATCAAATCCTCCATTCCAGGAAATCAAGAACCCTCTTCAAGAACCACAAGAAAGCTTCCAAGAACTCTCGAAGAACTTCAAGAAGTCTTCAAGAATCCCTCCACTGGTCTAAGAACCTCTTGTGTAGTCAATTGCTTTCTGCAGTGAGCTCTCTTTCGCTAGGGTTCAAATCAAGAGAAAGATCTCGCACTACTTTAACAGAGCATGCCACAACAAAAGGATAGTCCACTATGTATTTCATTATATCCGGAAGGAAAAAAAAAGAAATACACATCATGGTGAACCTATCCTTGTGATCGGGATGAGATGGTTCCCTTCGGCCATCTTCAATAGAGTGCTAGAGTGCCAAAGCCAAGCTCTCATCTCCCTCCAATAAGCACGAAAAGTGCCAGAATGTAAAAAAAACAAAAAAAAAGTTTGAGGCTATTTTTGGCCTGATACACAATAAGAAGTGCTAAAGCATCAACAACTACGTTCTTCTTGCCTTGTTTGTACTTGATCACGTATGGGAAGGAATCGATGAACTCAACCCAACGAGCATGCCTCTTGTTCAATTTGTGTTGGGCCTTCAATTGCTTCATCAAATTCTCCATTCCAAGAAATCAAGAACCGTAAGAAAGCTTCTAAGAACTCTCAAAGAACTTCAAGAAGTCTTCCAGAATTCCTTAACTCGTCCAAGAACCTCTTGTGTTATCAATTATTTCCGCTAGGGTTCAAATCCAGAGAAATGTCTCGCACTACTTTGACAGAGCATGCCACAACAAAAGGATAGTCCACTATATATTTCATTATTTCCGGAAGGAAAAAAGAGAAATACCCATCATGGTGAACTTCTTCTTGTGATCGGGAGATGGTTCTCTTAGGCCATCTCCAATAGAGAGCTAGAGTGCTTAAGTCTAGCTCTTGTCTCCCTCCAATAAACACAAAAGAAATACTAAAAATGGGTGACACCACTTTTCTTTCTTACCAAAGTCGCACACGACCCGTTGCTTCGACTTTCTTCCCCAGAGCATGTCCTGCACATACTATTGGTCGCTAGGGGTGGCTATACGGTCCGGTCCGGTTAAATTGGACCAAATTGATCAGGTCCCAGTCCGGTCTTTTCGGGAATATAAGGACCAAATATTGGATTGGATACAGTCCGGTCTTGATTCGGTCCGGTCTTGACCCACTCCGGTCCCAATTTGATCTTGATTTTAGGTGTTGGCCATCTCTTATCCGATCTTTATCCGGTTTTTTACCTCAAATCTAAGCCCGAATATGAGATTTGATTGTTTGCTATCCAGTCCTAGTCCGAGTTATACGATCTGGTTTCGGGTAAAACCAAACAGTCCGGGACCAAATAGCCAGCCGTATTGGCCGCCTGTTTTTTTTTTCTTCCACCCCACCTGCTCTATTATGTTTGTCTTGGAAGAAGATTCTCAATTCCACCCACAATTGACCTTGTTGTGCATTATTTGGCTTGGTCCTAATTTATCAATTTTCACCCATAATTAATGCTTTAGAAATTAACCTAATCAATTTTCATCTACGTATTAAGTTCTCGTTTACTTAAAACAGTCAAATTGGATGAAACTAATCTATTATCTTAACTGATGATATGAAAAAATTTCAAATTAAAAATTTATATCAAAATGTTCATTTTAATTAATTAGTGTAAATGATCTAATTAAAATTGAACACTTTGACATTCTTCCATTCCTTGTTGGAGCAAAATCCAATTTCGAGAAATCAAAGTGCCAAATTCATCTATTCTAGCATTTTGGCACTCTCTAGTTGGAGATGGTCTTAAAGATGGATCCCAGCTAGGCAGCGGTGAATCTAGGGGGACGCCTCCGGGCCGCGACCCAACACTCCTCTGAATCAAAGCTAGTATAGTACTTGTAAATATATTTTTTGGTATTTGTTTAAGTGTTCGTCGAGTTACGGCCCAACCCACTTTACCTCTTTTCAATATATGGTCCAATGCTTTACCTGATCCTACATTCGCCGCTACAGCTAAGTCACTTATAGTTATAGAGCTAAGGGCGGGGTCAATATCAAATCAACTTTTACGGATTTGATGCAATATATGGCTGGGATTAGGGGTGTACATGGGTCGGGTGGTCCGGGTTTAGGCATTTTAATCACCCGACCCATGCACTACGGTTTGGGAAATATTAAACCCAAACCCACCCAAAAAAATATAAACCCTACGGTTTGTTTTTAATTGGGTTGGGTCGGGTTGGCGATATTTTTAAGTAAAAACCCAACCCAACACAAAATATGTAATTATTCTACATCATAAAAATATTTTATAACAAATTAAAAATTCAAACGAATAAACCGAGGCGAAAGGTATCAAAATTCACAAATATTGTTTGAATTTTAATAAAACTTGATTTACTTCAACTTATGTCTAACTTTTAAAATTGTACGCAAGAAAAAAAATACGTGAATCATAGCTATATTAAATATATGTCTAAACTTTAAGTCGAAGAATGCATTAGATTAGTGAGACTTTAAGATAAAAACATGGCGAAATATCTTAATTTTCTCATAAGTATGACTATATACGACATAAATATTTTTTTGGATACGAACTCATACCCATAATTGGAACACGGGTTGGGTCGGGTTCTACCGGTTGTGTAATCCAAAATCCAAACCCAACCCAAAAGAGGTGGGTTGTACAAAAGAAAACCCTCACCCAACCCAAAACCTTCGATTTAGCGATAAATACGGGTGGGTTGGGTCGGGTTGGACGGGTGGGTCGGTTTGCGGGTGTGTTTGTACACCCCTAGCTGGGATGATACTGAAGTTTGGACCTCAGCCCCTATTTTCATTGGACCAACTAGTTTCTTTTTTTTTTTTGGGTAGAAAAGTGGGACGCTAAAAGGGCGCCCCTGCCTGTTACTTAAATCAAACGGGTTTGGGCAATGCCCATCGTATCATACAAGACCCAAAAAGAAAGGCATGTCTGAAATCGAGAAATCATGGTATCCTAAGCTCATGAGATGACCTTTATTGGCGAGAAAAACCGCCATCTTGTGGCATTCTCGGTAGATATGGGAAACTTTGACTTCCCAATTTTGTTGCAGTAGGAAGGGGAGCGCACCTAGGGTTTCTCTAGTTCTAGGTGTTCGTGGGCTTTTTCTTAAGGAAGTCCATTAGCCTAATGGCTTGGGTCTCCTCTCCCCATTTGCCATAGCTCATAGCCATAAAAACACAATCTATGTCTTTTTTTTTTTTACTTTTTACCATCCCTCTTCTTCCTATAAGATTTTAAATTATATATACGACAGACCACTCTCCATTTGCAGCCCCTACCTAGCTAGCCCCCACTTCAATCCATTATATGAGTATTTAGTATTTATTCTTCGGTATTTCCGGTATAGTCCGGTATTACTCCGAAACGGTAGCTTTATTTTGCCGGCACGGTTTTTTGACAAAAAATAAATATTATTATTACAAAAACGATATTTACCGGTATGAAACAATTGAACCACGGTTGTACCACAAAATACCCTAAAAAAATCCGGTTTGATGTCCGGTACGATTTCTTGAACCATGCTCCAAATAGAAGACCCTCCTCCTTCCTTAGGTGTACTTCCAACCAGCCTGCAAATCCCAAACCGCTATATTATCCTGAATACCCAGTAGCCTCCATACTTGTTGGGAGCTCGGGCAGTGGCGCATTATATGCTCTGCACAAGAGTCATTGCTTGTCAACTTCCTTCTTTTCCGCTCCGCGTTTGTCATCAGCCTGTCATGCAAAGCAAGCCATAAAAAGTGTTTAATCCGGTTAGGACCAGGCCATTTCCAAAGGCATTTCCATTGACTTTTGTTTTCTGCATTCGCCTCTTCAATTGCTTCTCCTCTTAGCCATTCTGCAGCTACCAAGTAGGCGGATCGGAGCTTGAACTTGCCGTCCGGTTCCATTCCCCAAACTGTGATATCTTCGCCCGAACCAGCAATCGACGGGTCAGTTCCTGCAATCAAAGCAATCATATTCCGAGTTAGATGAGGTTTTATATCTGTCCACGACCACTCACCTTCACTCGTGGTCATTTCAGCCACTGTCGCATTCCAATTGATATTATCTCCATTGCTCAAGACATGCTCTCGCAAAATAGTCTCCCTCGCCAACCATAGATCATTCCAAAACTGGACATTGCAGCCTTCCCGCACGTCCCAGACAATCCTTTCTTTTATGGACGGCCATATATCCACAATTCCTTTCCAAAGTCTTGATTAGACCAACTAGTTTCTGATTCTTGTATTTCTTCACACTAATGAAATAAATCAAATAATACAGGATCTTTTATTAAAAAAAAAATCTAGAGCAGGCCTGGCATCAAGGTTGTCAACCCGCGAGTTGACCCGGACCCGGTCGAGCTAGTGGGTCAAGGGTTAATGGGTCAACCGTTTTAACCCAGTTTGGTCCGGAAATATGAAAAGAGTCATTATATTGTACTTTTCCTTATAAATTATATCAAATCTTATCTAACATATGAGTTATAACATATAATATTACATCAAAATAACATATCGTACTTAGATTTAGCATAAAGTGAATTCACACACACTTATATACATCAATATTCAAATATTCAACTTAGGATTCCAAAGATTGCGTTAGGCGAATAAAAAATCGGAAAATATGCGCATTTCGCAAACCAAAAAAAAAATGACACAATTTGACCTTCAACCCAGTACCTTATAGCGGTCGACCCGGCGTGTGTGCGGTCCATTTTTCTCACCGGATCAGAGTCAAAGTGGGTCGACCGCGGGTCAATCCGCGGGTTGACAACCTTGCCTGGCACACAGCACACCTCGTACCTTTCAAATAATCAAACAAATCTTCTCGGACCCTAAAATTCAAATAAACACCAACCTAACAAACAAACAAGAAACGGTTCAACCGAGAAAATTAATGATAATATTCAACCCATGGCATTTTTCGTTATTCCTATAACATCGAGGGCAACTAAACTAATTCTTTATTATTCCACGCAAAACCTCATTCCCCGTTCCGTTACGCTATCTCTGCGTCCTAATTCCTATCCATCTTAAAAGAAAGATATAGCGAACTATATAAACCGAAAATCAAACTTCTCTTCCTCTCTTACAGACCAAAATAAATAAATAAGAAAAACTTCGCTAATTTTTCTGCGATCCATTTCTCAACTCTCCCGTCTTCCGTCCCTTTCCTCCGCTGGTCTTCTCTCTCTGTGCGTTGTTCGGGGTTAGGGTTTATTTGTTGACCTTGACCCAAGCAGCGATGGGGCAGCAATCGCTGATCTACAGCTTCGTCGCTCGGGGAACGGTGGTCCTGGCGGAGTTCACAGAGTTCACCGGCAACTTCACCAGCATAGCCGCTCAGTGCCTCCAGAAACTCCCCGCTTCCAACAACAAGTTCACTTACAACTGCGATGGCCACACCTTCAACTATCTCGTCGACAACGGCTTCAGTAACGACCTCCCACTCCTTCCTTCTCTCGCCTCTTTGGTTTCTCTCCTTTTCCTTGTTGTCTTTCGGCGTTCTACTGATCTGTGCTTGTCCTTGTTCATCCTGTTTGTACCTGTGCCGTGGGTTGAGTTGTTGGTAGAGTCTGTGATGGAGCGATCATCGGTTCTGACTGGCTATTTCCTCCAGTTTGTCGATCTTGTTCTGTTTCAGGTTACTCCAGATTACCAATTATTCAGATCACAAACACAGTCTTTGTTTGCATTTGCTGGTTATTATTTGTTGGATTCGCTTGGTTGTTGCCAAGTGTGACTAATTTTGAATTTCCTTGTAGATTTGGATGTGTAAGTTTTTTGTTCTTTCGTTTTTGAAGTTTACACTTGCAAGTCTGGTGTATTGGGTGTAAGGATTATCTGATGTTCAGATTCTGATTCTGTCATTGGAGCTCGTCCTAACGGCATATCTATTTGTTGAACTTGGGTGTAAGGATGAGGTTTAGAGGCCATAAATGGTATTATGCGTCTCATGATCAGATTCTAATTTTCCATCATTGGAGCTCGTCCTAATTGCAGTCTATTTGTTGAACTTGGAGCCCTGAAACATTATTACATGGACGCTGAGATGATGATGATGCCCTATATTTGTTTCTCAAATAAATGGTTGTGGGCTGTTTATGTGTGAATCTCCATTCTTCTACTGAGCCAGTATATATCAACCTGAAGTTAGATTATCTGATGGGAGGTTGTCATTTTTTAATTACTGGGAGTGTAATCAACCTTCATTAATTAACTTCCACAAACCCCTGCCACTTTTACTTTTTTTCCAAGCATAGTGCCTTCAGCAGTTCTTTTTCCACCCTCATTTGTAGTTTTGTTATTCTATGTAATGAGGAGAACTCTCAAGGAGTTGAATTGAGAACCCTGTTTAGTAAAACCAAAGTCTTCCCATCCTGTTGTGCTGTGCTTGGTGTATTCTTCTCCTGTTTCATGGAAGGATTAAGTCTCTACCTGTGAATTTTCAGCCTATTGTGTGGTCGCTGTGGAGTCTATCGGGCGACAGGTTCCAATTGCTTTCCTTGAGAGGATTAAGGAGGACTTCACTAAGAGATATGGTGGGGGAAAAGCTGCAACAGCAGTTGCCCAAAGCCTGAACAAAGAATATGGGTGAATTATTTTAATGCTTGGCAATTTCGGAGCTAGTCTTGCCTTTTCTGGCAAGCCATGTTCACATCTTGGTTCTTGTGCAGGCCCAAGTTGAAGGAGCAGATGCAATACTGTGTTGATAACCCAGAAGAGGTTAGCAAACTTGCTAAGGTGAAAGCTCAGGTTTCTGAAGTTAAAGGAGTTATGATGGACAACATAGAAAAGGTATATAACAGTTAATTTCATATGGAAATTTCAACAATGACTTTCTTATTTTTCTATTGTTTCCTTATCTTAATGGTTGAAAATCTTTCTGATAACTGGGTTTTTTGTTCCTAAGTCTAGCACTGGTTAAGGGCAATGATGGAACATGTATCAGTTTGTTTACTGATTTTCTTTGCTGCTACAGGTACTTGACCGTGGGGAGAAAATTGAGCTTCTCGTCGACAAAACCGAAAACCTTAGATCTCAGGTATGTTCGGATTACCATGCTTTTCTCCCCGGACATGAGTTGGTCATGTTTAGATTTGAAATTAGTAGACACTAGACAGGGTCAAGATTTTCTGAACCAAGTAATTGTGCCCTTAAACCTGATTGACATTGTCAGACCCAGGTCATGAAACTGTTGATAGTGTTATTATCTGTTTCTTTCTCTCTTGATTTTCAAAGATGAGTTATCACTTCTCTGATTTGTCTCGTGTCTTTCTTAAAGCTGTGCTTGTTCGTTCTCTCTTTTCCATAGAAATAGAAAGCCTTTACAGTTTACATTTCCTAAAGAACGCCTTCTTGCTCTCTCTCTCTCTCTCTCTCTCTCTCTCTCTCTCTCTCTCTCTCTCTCTCTCTCTTCTTTATTAACTATTCCATCTTGGTGAGTCTTTTTAAGGTGTGTTAAGTGTCTACTTCACTGCAGGCTCAAGATTTCAGGCAGCAAGGGACCAAGATGAGGAGGAAGATGTGGTTGCAGAACATGAAGATCAAGCTGATAGTGCTGGGGATCATAATCGCATTGATTCTCATCATAGTATTATCTGTTTGCGGCGGTTTCAAATGTCATTAGTATCAGTTTCTGGTGCCATGCTCATTACGAGGGCTACCATATCCCTGAACTTGCGCTTGTATAGTCTTCCCCCCCTTTTTTAAGTTTCAGAAGTCATTGTAACGTTTCTTTGAGAGTGGATGCTCGTGATCTTCCATGTTGTTTGCCCCATTTGATTGATGAATCGTAATATCCAACTTGAATTGCCCAGAAGGAGCTGGATCGTCCTGGAAGTTGTCTGTCAATTATTTGTTGTGCCTTGAAACTGGTACCTCCGAAACTGGAAAATGAACCAGAAAGTGACATGAACCCAGGCGAAGTTGATACTGCCCGCCTGTTATGTTAAGCAAGCAGAGCGCCCTGCAGTTGGCATTATTTGACGGGGGGAAATGAAATAACTAGAAATCAGTGTCTATATACTCCCAAAAGGGAGAGCCTACAGATTGAAGAACACGCAGTTCTTGTTGTGGTGTTCTTCATCCGCTGATCTCGATGTTGTCTATCAATCTAACATTGCCGAACCATGCTGCGACGCAGATAACAACTGGCCTATCCACTTCCCCCACTGTCTCCAAACTCTCTTGATCCACTATCTGGTAAAACACACAAAATAATGGGACTCAGAAATGCGAGCTGGTACATTGCGGCACAAGGCAACGCCAACTTATGAAGGCAAACTGGTCAGCTTGCCGGCAACACGAAATGAATATCAAAGGGTCTTGTCTTGTTGTTCAGATGCAAGGACTCACCTCCACATAATCAATCTTCCCTCCAGCCCCAGATATTGCTTGGACCAGAGTCCCTCGCAAATCGCTGCAGTTCGTCGTCTGGCCTCTCTCTACCAACGATTTAGCTTGGAAGAGAGACCTGCTTATGGACAGAGCCTGCAGCCACCCGAAAAGATCAGACAAGAAAGCTAGGGTTAAATAGAAGATCAGAAAGCTGGTAAGCTGTTAAAGAGAGTGGAGAGGGTGGGAGAACCTTTCCTCTATCCTCTGGGGAGAGGCGCACGTTGCGCGAACTCATTGCCAGGCCATCTTGCTCACGCGTTATGTCAGACCCAACTATTCTTATTCCAAAATCAAGATCTCTAACCTGCAGGAAGTTCAACAAAGCGAGATCCATCAAATCATCGGCAGTAACTCGAGACAGCGATAACCCAGAAAATCAACATTCTAGAATGGGTCAAACATCCGTAAGAAGCTTTTGAGCGTAAACAAAACTAGCAGAAGGGAAAAGCTTAATGCTAGGGCCCGATCAAACGGAAGTAAAATGCATACGCAACTCTTCCTGGGACAAAACCCAGCTCCGTATCCGCAAATGATTGTTCTCCTATTGTATCAGAGGAGCACACATCGACATTTCCACAAGGACACAAAAGAATTGGCATAAGAAGCTTATAGATTGAGCCCACCATTCTCTGAATAACTCGCCACTGCTGGTAATCCTTCTTCCCAAACACAGCCATGTCAGGGTCCACAATATTGAACAGCTTGGCCACCACGGTCGCAACACCCCTGAAGAACACCGGCCGGCTCTTCCCGCATAACCCTCTCTCCAATCTCTCCACTTTCACCCACGTCTCGTGCCCGGCACCCATTTCTTCCACACACGACGAAACCCCTGATGCCGGCGGCCCCTTTTCCCGTTCCTCTGACAATTCCTCGACAATATCCCGTTCCCCTTTTCGGCCAATGTTCCCGTAGTCGTAGAGATTGTGGGGATGGAAAACAGCGTCGACCCGGCGGCACCCGGAAACAGACCCGAGCTTCAGGATATCGCCGTGGAAGTCGGACGGATAAGTGGAGAGGTCTTCGGAGGGAGAGAATTGACCTGGGTTCACGTAGATTGAAACGACGACGACATCCGCTAGGGATTGAGCTTTCTCGACGAGGGATAAATGGCCCTGGTGGAGATAACCCATTGTGGGTACCAAGGCTATGGTCTTGCCGCGGCATCTCATGGCCCGTGACCATTTCCTCATCTCGTCTTTGTTCGTTATGATCTCCGGCAGCTCCTCCGGCGCCGCACTTCCTCCTTCCATAGTCGATGAGAGATCCCCGAGCTGTAAAGGGGAACGAGAAATTCTATATTTTCCAATATCGAGTCCTCTGGTAGTTGTTTTTTTACATATGAGCGGTATTTTTTTTTACACTATCAATGTGACATCCTTCTGAAACCTATTTTTACCAAAAATGCCCTTATAAATATTTAACATTATATACTTGAAAAGAAAGCGAAAACGTTGCATATTAACATTACTAAAAAAACATGAATAATTCTCAAATATTTTAGGGTTAATATCAATTATAAACCAGAACTATTAACTTTGTGTCATTTGTGTCTTAAAGTATTCGATATGACATTTGTGTCCTAAACTATTTGTCTGTTAGAGTTGACTTGCGTTGACCGTTAGTTTTTAACTGAAAATCTAGTCAGCGCTGATGTGGCATCCGACGTGAAATATTATTATTTATTATTTATTTATTTTATTATAAAAAATAAATAAACTAACAAAAAGAAAATTACAAAATACAAAAAATTAAATCCATATCCAAATCCCAAAATCCAAACCCAAATCCAAAAAAAATCCCAAAACCCAAACCCATCTTCATCCTCACCTCCGCCGCCGACAACACATCCTCCTCCTGGCCGCCTCTGACGCCGTCACCTGCAACAAACAAGAACAAACCAATATCAAATACCATCTCCAAAAATCCATCCCAAATTCCATCTCCGAAACCCAACCCAGATCTCAATACCACAACGAAATCAGAAACTCCAACACAGATGGGAGGCGAGCTGTGGCTGTGGGTGGTTGTGGCGTTTCACAGCTTTAGGAGGAGACAAAAACAAATTCCAGTTATGGCAAGCTAATTTACTTCAAAGTTCAAACCTTTTGAGCGGCTGTCGAAGCTCCGACGAAATTGGGGATCCGGTGGTGAATGGGTCGGGGAATCTGAGCGAAGTTCCGGGCCTCCATCAAATCCCAGACCCGCTTCCGGATTATCCACTTCCAAGCTTTCGGATCCTCCGCCTCCCGCCGTTGGCTTCCATCATCTCCCTCGCCAAAGCTTCGGCCATTGATTCTCGCGCCAACGCATCCAGCCGCAACCTCTACGCCTTGTACGCCGACTCGTCCAAAGCCACCCGCTCCTCTCCTCCTCCACTGCCGGTTCCCGCCACCGTGAAACTGGCGCTGGAGTAATTGTGGTAAAGCAGCATCCTATTCGAGTTGATCCAAATGCGGGAGTAGGGATGGCAACTTTACCCATACCCATGGGTTTCTTATTATCCAACCTAATTGGGTTGGGTATGAAATCCAAATAGATGCATATGGGTAGAGTTTGATGGGTATGTACCCATACCCATTTACTTTGGGTTGAGTTGAGTTTATATCAAATGGATTTGGGTTTGTACCCATGCCCAAATACAAATTACAGTTTGGTACCCAAACTTAATAGACATGCATATTTAGTACCTAAATTTAATTTTTTTTGCATATAAGTCCTCAAAATATCGATGGAAAATTACGTTTTGGTACCTAAATTTTTTTTATCTTATATTTTGGTACCTAAACTTTTCAAGTTTTGCAAATAGGTCCAATTTTTGCATGTGTAGTTAAAACACCCTCAAGTAAATGGATATCCATATCCAACCCATACCCATTTAGATTATGAAAGCCCCAAATCCAAACCCATCTATAAACCCCCAAAACCATATGCACTTCACCCATACCCAACCCATTATCAATGGGTCTACTTGGGTTTGGGTATAATTACCCATGGGTGGGTAATTTGCCATCCCTGTGCGGGAGCATAGCGAGGATCGAGAGACCGAATTGGGACGATGCTAATTTTATTTATTTTTTAATAATACTCTATTTTTTTTAATTTTTAATTAAAAATATGAGGTGTCATTGACGTGGCAGCCACGTCAACAAAAGTCAATGTTAATGTTGACTTTCGTTTGGTCAACCGTTATCTATAACGGTCAACAAAATCGTTAGGACTTAGGACATAAATGACACACAACTATCATACGTTGTGACACAAATGTCATATCGAATACTTTAGGACACAAATGTCACAAAGTTAATAGTTCGGGTTTCCCAGTGGTATTAGCCTAATATTTTATTCAATAAAGTCCCTCGTGCTACTAAGATACCAAATAAACAAAATTTCTTCTGGAGTTCTTCGAGCCACTGATCTTACTCATGAACTGTTTATTTTTGAATGCAGGCGTATGGTCGGTCCTAAGTCATAGGTTCATTATACTTGGCAAGAAAATAATCCAAAACGCTCATAAATGCATATGCTCATGCATTAAAAAGTTTACTTGACTTGAAATGATTTTCTTGAAAGGGGACCTCAAGTTCAGCTTAATTAGTGCCAACTCGCTCGTTCACCAAAACGTGATTACATAAACCTCCATCACTCTGGGAGGTAAGGTAATCGAGCGCTAGCTACCTTCTAGTACCAACATACTTGTTTAAGAGCTCCTTAGATGAAGGAGTGGGTAACATAAATGAGACTTCCTCATTCTGATAAGTGAAGGGTCGCGTGCATAGCTAGTTAAGTCAGGTTAAAAACATGATCTTGCTTATTATGTATTTGTTTAACCTAACGTAACTTACACTTGCTTGACATGAGGGTCATCCACACTGTGCGATATCCAATCTCATGACTTGCTTGACTTATAAATTCATATGCAATACATGTTTGGCAGCATCCTATGCTCGTGACATGCATATATGATTAGGTGGTTGACCCATGTGTCTCCCTAATCCATCTCCAAAAGATAAATCACTAGAAGGAGGATAAGATATAAAAACATAGTGAATGTAGACATCAATGTGGATTCTATCAACCACGTATGTATATGTCCTTTATCATACTAGAGCACATCTAAGGAAAGTCTAGGTGAGTTTGCCTATACGGCGCCTTTCCTTATTGTTTTCCTTCGTCCAGTAATATTGTTTTGTTTTATTTATTTTCTACATCAAAAGTTGGGAGTAATGTCTACAAGATTGACTTACCAAGAGAGTATGGGATAAGTGCAACATTCAAAGTTTCTGATCTTGCACCACATCCATATGGTAACTCAGATTTGAGGAAAAATCCTTTTCAAGAGGGAGGGAATGATGACGTCATCAAGACCAAGAACACTACACCAGAAGAAGGCCCAATCACACGTTCAAAAGCTAAGAAGTAAGGGGGAAAATATGCAACCTACTTGAGAAACTACTTTGTTAGCATGGACATGGATCTACTCAAGGGAATGCCCATAATGGTGTTACAGTACGAGGATTGAGATCAAATGGAGAAGGACTTGGGAGATCGATTGGAGAAGAAGGGAGACCGAGTGAAGAAGAGGGTTGGCGACAATGGCGTAAAGGACGGGCTTTTGAGGAGTCCTTAGCCCAAAAGGATTAACATTTCCTTAGCCTAGAAGGAAGGAAGACCTAGTCAAGTCATTTGTGGAGAAGGATTTATGATTTTCAGATTGTATGTGTTATTCTCTTAAATTGTTTTGCTTTCATTGTTAGTTTTGGATTGGTGGATTTTAGCCTATTTAAAGGGGTTGAATTTCATTGTATCCAATTACAAGTTTATCAATATAGAGGTTATCTCATGTTCATCATTGAATGTTTGTACAAGACTTATGTTGAGGATTCCAGGAGATTGTACGTGTCTCTTATCAACTAGACGATCACATCTAGTTGTGGCGAGCTTCTACCCAGATAGTGATTGGCCCTTCTCATAAGTTGAGATGGCTTGATTGTGTTCCACCTTATTTTTATTTTTGTTGAAGAAGATAATCATAAAAGCTTGAAGATCGACGTTGGCTGCGTACTTTGATCACCTTTATCTAGTATTTTGAGCCTCAATTCATATCATAGGGTAAGCTTATTCAATGACAAAGCTAGTGCCCAGTTATTTTCAATCTTGTCCCGGCCTATCCAATGCCTCTTCCTGAAAGGATCATCCAGTGCCCAGTTATTTCTAATGCTTTGAATGCACACTCAGAGCACCCAACAACTTTATGAATCACGCAATGCACTTTCTTCTCCTAACTCCCCAACCCATGCTCTTCCGCTTCAAACTTAGGAGTGCTTATCGTTAAATACTGATGGTAGTAGGGCATATTCACGTACAAGACACAAAGGCAAGGAAGCAAAAGCTGGCTAGAAGGAGAGAAACCCAGTCACCAGCAGTCAAACTCTCATATGAGACTAAGCAGCCACCGACCGTTCGGAAACACCCCTGACCTATCTTGATTAAGACTTAAAACCTATAAAATGGAGCCTAATTTAAGATGTCAAACAAATGATAGAATGAAAACCAAGAATAACCCGCTATTATGGAAGGGACCCGCCCAATTGGTGGGAATATTTGGATTTACGTTATATAATTTAGGGTTAATATTTTTTAGGATGGTAATAAAGGTAGAGGTGTCAAGAACTCGACTCGAGTAACTCGTCAAATCAACCCAACCCGCAACCCGACTGCAACCCATCTGACTCGTAACCGGTTGACCCACAACTCGATTGACATGCAATTCGGTTAAATCCGTAACCCATTTGACCCAAACCTAATTAACCCATTACCCGATTGATTGGCGTGAATACTTATGATATAATATATACTTTCAAAAATTCAACCTTAGCTTTGCCTTATTTTATCTTTGTTAAAATGCAATAACGCAGACATGAGGAAGGTGAGAAGAAGGCGGCAGCTGAAGCGGCGTTAGCGTTGATGTAACTGTATATGTCATCCTCGTGTTTATTTGTGGGACAGGAACTTATGCAAAGGATTGGAAGATCGTAGATGCCCGTGAACTTGCGGTGATAATGGTCTTGTGGTCAAACCCCCCATGTGGGTTATGTCAATTGTTTGCATGACCTAACTAACTACACTTCTCGAGCCAAGTATAACTCAAAATGGTGTTGCTAATATTGTGGTGACCAAAGTTGTATTCCACATGTTTCGGTACTCTAGGCTACTTCTCACGTTTTTGTTACCTAGTCAATCTGTTTAGTTGGGTTTTTTAGGTCAATTGACAATATTGGTGGAGAAAGCAAGGAAACAAAGCATGTTATTTGGGGTAACTCCCTCTCCCTACATCTAGGTTCTTCATGCACATGACTAACTATGTTGGGTTTGCAGGATGAGGTGCGAAACTCGCTAAAGTAGGGGTTTCAATGATTACTCTGCCTCCTCTTCATATGCTCCCAAAGACCCATTGTTACCTCAGTCAAAGCTCACATACTAAGGAATAACCGTTAGTTCCTCTCAATAGGTTCAAACTATCATGAACACTAAAGCGATGGATCGATGACGCTTGCATAATCTATATCATTGTCTCAGGAACACATTCCTCCGACAGGGGATCTGCCGCCTCGTCCACTAAAAGGAATCCTAAGATCATTCATCTATCTCCAATTAGCCTTAAGGCGCTCATATCCAGTCTAACCCTAAAATTCCTACCTAGTTCTGTGACTAAGTTGTAGGCTAGTAGAAGAGAGTGGAAAGATAAGCCACACCATAATCAAGCATAAATGAAGCATATAATCACGGAAACAAACAAATCCATTCACAAACACTAACACAATTACATCTATATTCAAAACCTAAATCTAGGGTTTGGAGGTTTTAACCCCTCGTACTTAGAGGACTACTCCATAAAGGAGGGAAGAAGATACATGTAGAGAAAATAGAAGAAGACTTAAATTGGGGAGATCTCCCTTCCTCCTTGACTCCTCTTTTCTTTAGCTTCTTTCTCTGAAACCATAAATTTCACAATTGATTTCCACTCTCTAAATGAGGGGGAGGAGCCCCCTATTTAAAGATTTTAGGAACTTGGCCAAGTTCATTATCAAACTGGCAAAGGTCGCGGGCCTGATCTGGGAAGGGAGGCTGCGATATTGGGCTTTGCCGTTTTGTGCTTCGGTGGCTGAAGAGTTCGTGGCCCGACTTCATGATGCAAAAATTTGTGAGTCAACTATCAAAATTTATATTCTTACTTGTTGGCTGCTCCAAAAGTTTGAGCAAGAAGCCTTCTTTGCGGTCGTGATCATCGCTTTAGAGGTCGCGATTTAGCTATCCAGCTTCGCGTCCTCTGTTCCCGGTAGTGATCTTCTATACTTTGGTTGTGATCCTTAATTTTTGCACATTTCTCTACACTTGTGCCCTCTTTTTGTACCTAAAACATTCATATCATCTAATACACCCTAAAATACTAATGATTTTTCCGAGGAACAAATAAAGAGTATAATCAACGATATTTTAACCATGAAGAACATGAAATGGCTCAAAACAAACCCAAATATGGGCTCTAAATGACACCATTTTTGCTATTATCAACTCCCCCATACTTAGGTGTTTGCTTGTCCCCAAACAAACCTACTCAAACTAGTACAACTTGATAGAAAATCAACTTGGTACGAGCTATAGTTCTTCGTTGCTCTAGTTAGAATAGTTGGGTTAGAGTGAGCGTTACTCTCATGTCACTATGAAACTACAAACTGCCGGATGAAGACCATGTCGATTAAGTAGGTCAAGACATTCAAGGTGTGAAATGGGGGACTTTAAAAAACAATAAAAGCAATGGACTCTTGAAGGTGCTTTTTATTCTTTCTTTTCAAGGTAGGAGTTATTGTTTTTGGTCTCCTTTTTTAAACATTGCCGCACTTGGCACCAAACATTTGCAATTTTGCAAATTGGCATCTCTCCCTCATGATCAAGAGGAAAAGGAACATTGGATTCCCTAGGATTAGGTGAGCTTAAGAAAACAAGAATCAGTGTCTAGTTAGTTGACATATCCATTTTTTACCCTAAAGGTATTGTGGAGGACCTCCTAGTCCAATTGGGAGAATAATACTATCCTACGAATTTTGTTATCTTTGATATTCATGAGGATGTAGAAGTTAACCTAATACTAGGATGGACCTTTCTTGCCACCACCAAGGATTTAATTAATGTGAATGAAGGTACTCCATTCTAAGAACAGGTGTTGAAAATATCACCACTTTTGCAAACAACGAGAAGTAGTACCTATGCATGATTTTGGTGTTAAGTATGAGGTGGAAAAGGAACCTAAGTATTCTAAGGCTAAGTATACTTAAATTAATGATTTGACCCATCGTGTAGACAAGTCTTGTGTGCTTCCTATGTTTTATGTGAAACAGGTTCCCGAACCTCCCATGTTGGCCAAGGCAAAGTCCAAGAAGGTGTGGAGAACTAAGATGAAGGACAGGAAGGTGTGTGTTGGCTCGATGACGGTGTGTTGAATGAGAAATGTCCCAAAGCGAAGAAATCACCTAAGAGTGTAGTGGATCCACTCTTGGTGGCATCTTGCTCGAATCTTCCTAAGATCCACCGATTGTGTCCATCTTAAGAAGTAAAAGAAGCAGTAGCTTAGAGGCAACCCTACATCGGTTGTTATTTCTTTTCCCTTTTTCCTCTTTTCTATTGATGTGTGTTTGAGTTACTTGTGTGTGTATGGAGTTGGTTACGTGCCCTTGGTTGTCATGATTATGTCTTTAGATGTGTTGTGTTTGAGTTCCGAGAACGGAAGAGTCGAACAAGGATCGGAAAATGGTCGAGTAGGAGAAACTGTGAATGTCATTATTTTTGTATTTATGTCACGGTTTCAAATATGACATAAACAACAGGATGCGACATATGTTTTTGCCACTAGTCATTTGTTTATGTCACGACCACAATTTCGGATGTCTCGGTCTGATTTTGACATCAAACAAGCATGTGATAGTCGACCCAATTCATACAGTTTTTGGACAATGTCACATTTTTTATGTTTATGTCACGGTCTGACCGGTAACTTACTACCCAAAATCGTGACTCATGCACGGGAAGGTATATAAAGTCGTGACCATTATTCGACTGTGATTCACACCCAGATCACTGGAATCCTCTGAAATCTCGCAAAAAAAGTCACCTCTGAAAGTTTTTTGACAATTTCACCCACTTCCGGCCATCCAAATAAAAACCAAGCACATACTTAGACTCCCTCTTAAAGGCGCACCTTCGCCTGCAATTTTGCGTCGTTTGGAGGTGGTTTTTCATCGACGGCAAGGATTCGGTGAGCTCCTTCGACCGTTTTCCTAATGCATTTTCGCCTCCTCACTTTCTCCTTGCCTTCCCTTATGATCCTAGCTACTTGAGTTTCCAGCTATGTAATTTTCTTTTGCGTTGTCTGTTTAAAAAATTGGATTCTAGGGTTCTTAGGCGAGGAATTTGGTTCTTTTGAATGAAATGATTGAATTAGGGATTAGTTAAATTGTACATGTATGAACATGTTAAGAAGTCTATGGCGGCGTGTGGATGCCTTGGTGGGCATATTTTGCCTAATTTTGCTCGTTTAAACTTAATGCTCACCAAGTATCTGTGAAAATGTATAGGCTTCATATCCTTTTGTGCATGTTGAATGGTGAGTATCAAGGCATGATTTAGGGTTTTCCTAACTAGTCTATGAAACCCCTAGTTTCATATCTCATATTGCTTTTGATCCAGTTGAGCTAACATTCTGAAATTTCGGGCTTGCTTGAACCCATGCAACCAGGATACCGTGCTTTGTATTTTGCTAAACTTTCCATTTTATATGGTGCATGGTTGTGTTCTTGTATGCAGGAAATACCTGACCCGTCTCATCTATATATCTAGGTGATCTTGTCGACACCATAAGTATGTTGTGAATTTAACGTTTGGCGAATGACCCCAATCAGACCCCACAGGTGGCTTGACTTTGATCAGTTCGTTGCTCTCCACTGTCGAGCTTACATGTCAAACATCGTTGCCCATCCTCAGTGGCGTCGACTCCTCGAGCTCCAAGACAACAACTACAGGGAGCTCCGTGTTGAGTTTATTGCTCCTACACTCACATCCGGCCTCTCAAACCTCCCCGCCGCTACAAGATGTACGTCGTTTTTCTAACTCGGCAGTGCGCTTCAGACCATGACCTACCACCAGCTTGCCCAAGCCATGGGACTGGACACTAGAAACATGAATGCCAACGAGATAGATGAAACCAAGGACCTGAACTTTTAGGTTGTTTTCAAAACTGTCAGCTGACCCTAGAACCACCATATCAGGTTCCAACCTGGGGGGACGACGACTACTTTGCTCCACCCCCAGTGGCGCATCCTCAACATGTTGTTAGCCCACTCCATCCTTCCTAGTCACAAGTCTCTGGACAATTTTACCATGAGGGCGATGCTTGTCTTTTATACCATAGGTAGACCTCGTGAGCCCCTCCACCCCAGGTTGGTGTTGACAACATCCTTTTTCGAGGGATTGGAAACCATCGAGTTTGCACCATGCATATGAGGCCTCTAATTACCAAGCTAGCTAGGTCACATCCAAGTTGACCAACAACTTCACTCTCGTAGGCCACACTGTCAACTTCCCTCGAGGAGACGTTGGCATCCATGAACTTGATCAAGACAGTTGGGCCTATCCACCACATTCAGGGCATTCTCATTCCTATCGAGGCGGCTCATATGCCACCACCTCATTTCACCCCGACCAGAGCCGGGCCCTTTTCACCATCCTCTGGAGCTGGTCTTTCCTCTTTCACTAATGCTCAACTCACTGCCTTGGAGGGCCATTACTCCCGATTGGAGGCTCGGTTTGGCAGAGAAAGAGGGAGGCCTGGCGCCATTCTCACGTCATGGTGCACCAGCTGTTGTCCCGTCACAGACTATACACCCACTACAAGGTTCCCTACTCTTCCACGCACTTCTACGATTGTAGAATGTTCTGCATCCTTCTTGACTTTGAAACATCAACCTCAATTTGGACAATCTCCATGGTTAAACTCCTAAACAGACCATTTAATATACATATTATATACCATAGTATCTAATCCTACTTAAAACCAAAAGACCACAGCTACAAATACATAACTAACCTGTTGGGTATGCAAATAGCAAACAGAAACCGGATCGGATCCGGCAATTGGGCAAGAACCCGAAGCCCAATTGTCAGGCAGAAGAATCCGGTAGTTGCTGCTTACCGTCCTGCCAATTTTGCCACAACAACCATTCCAAATTTCCAATACTAAAACAAATAATATAAATAGCAGGCAAGAGGGGAAACTGGCGAGCAGCCACGACAAAACACCAACTCGGGAGGGAGAACAGGAAAACTCACAAAGAAAAGAATGAGTGGGGTTACAGCTTCCCCGCAAATTCTGATGAACGCCTTTCTGCCTCACTCCACCAATTCCCTGCCCAAACCAACCTTCAAGTCCGCCGCAATCACATTTACCCCGCCGCAGAACCGTCGCCTTGCCTGCTCCGGACTCGCAAAACCCAGTACCCTGCTGGTCCTCACTGCGCGCCGTGGAACCAGCCTGAGATGCAGGAGCAGCACCGACTCCACCGACTCCACTTCTGGTACTACCAGAGAGACTGTCTTTTCTTACTTCATTTTCTGTTCTTAGATGTTCAATTTTCTTCTGGGTTTCCTTTGGTTTTGTTGAATTTCCAATTGGGTTGACTGGAAACAGTACTGGAAATTTTGGTTCCATGGAGAATTTTGGGTTGTTTGTTTCTGCGATGAAAACTGAAGGTTTTCCTATTCTGAGAGTTTGCAGAGGAGAATGAGAGCAAGAGCGTACTGGATGCCTTCTTCTTGGGGAAGGCTCTAGCGGAAGTGCTGAACGAGCGGCTTGAATCGGCTGTTGGGGAGATTATGAGCACCATTGGGAAGCTTCAATCTGACCAGCAAAAGCATATACAATGCTTCCAGGTGGCGTCACTTTCTTTCTCTTCTTCCCACTCTTCACTCTCCATTTCATTTCCCTCCCATTTTAACTTGGTCAAGCAAACTTTCTGTTCTCATTTCTCTTCTGGCAGGAAGATGTGGTGGGGAGAGCCAAGAAGGCCAAGCAAGAAGCTGCACAGACTACCTCAGTAGTCGAAGCATCAACTGATCCTGAAACCGACATTTCAGAGGTCGAGGTGGTGACCGGCGCATGAACTTCTCCCAGGATTGGATCTTCAGCCGGGCTCATTACCTTTTAAAAAGTCTTCTCTTTCTACAGTTTTTCTTTAAGTTTGGTGTTCTATCATCGCAAGGGAGAATATTAGTGTTACTACCCTGTGTACCTTCTTCATTCACATTCTCATATGGAATAAAATAGATCAACAAATCTTTCTGGATTAGATCGATCACCGGAAAAGCAAGAACAAATTCATTGATCGGTTTACCAAGTTGCAGTCACAAATATGTAGGCATTCATTGATCGATAGCCGCAAAATGGCAGTCTGCTAGTACAAATACACTCAAAACTGTAGGCATTCATGTCAGAACTGTTGCCGTGCTTTCCATCTAAAAGTAAATGAAAAAGGAGAGGTTCTAGCGATTATAGTGTTGCTCTCTCCTTCAATCGATCAATCATCATCCGGAAACTGAACATCAGACATCGGCACCTTTCCTATTATCTGGCTTCCATCACCGTCCTCATCTTCTTCATCGGCATCCATGGCTGAACCCTTCCTGAAATCCACTTTAAAGTCATAATCATCATCCATTGCATCCACTTTAGCAGCCTTTTTCCTCCGTTTCTTCTCGGCTTTTTTCATCTTGTTGTTCACCATGCCTTCTACAGCATACAGCTTCTCATTCTGTCTGGTGGTTGAGTTCTTTGATTTGGTCATGCTGGTATCTCCAGCATCTGTACCCATATCTTGGTCTTCTTCAGCTTCCTTCATTTCGTCAGAGCCTTCTTCAGCTCTACCTGATGCTTCAGGTTTTATATTTTCCTGAATGAATGCGATCAGAAAAAGGGCACATAATCAATGCCTGATGTAGATTCTCGAATTGATACAGTGAGGCTCTTTGTTCGAAGCCCCTAAATATATGGAAGTCGTTTCATTTTCTTATATATTTTAACTTCCAGGGAACAGGTATTGATTGATTTGGACACTTTTGAAACAAATCCCTTTGCAAGTAAGATCTCCCACGCATTCAGAGGTTGCTGGATGAAAGTAGAGAAAATTATGAAATCCAAAAATGCTAGTGGGGTATTTAGTGCACAAACCTCTAACATGCTCTCATCAAAATTGAGTGGGCTGCTGGAAGGAACTTCAACAGGAATGAAGTCATTGACAGACTTCAAACTTCCAATAAATGAAGATTCACTATTGTAGACTTCATCAATGTTAAACTCCTTGCCTAGCTCGGAAACAATCTTTGCCTCTGAAGCTTCTTCCTGATTCCTCGTTGGAGGCATTGTGTAATATGGAATCTTCCCTGAGGACCAAAGAAATTATGCCACTTGTCAATTGAAGGCAGAGTTGAGACTGTTTTCCTAAATCACAGACCATTCTACAGCTGATCATATACATTAAAAAGAAGCAGACAACTATTTCCACATCTTCATACCAGTATTCCAATCATGCAGGACAATTCTAGCAGCAGCTTCAACATCAACAATACCACCCTTTTTTAGCCGTCCTCTGACTGTAGCTAAGTTTTGCAGGAAATCATCGACCGAATCAAAACTTGGAATCTTGTACAGTGTCACCAGCAGCCTTTCTGGACAGCGCTTGATAATTTCTTTCACTGCATTTAAATGAATAAAATGTAAATAGCAATTCAACTTTCAACAAGGAAGTGAATTCTAAATTCACTACCTCCAATTCTAAAGATGCAGGTACAGAATCCAGATATAAAATGACATGAACTATCTTTGATCCGAACTCAACAACATTGACACAAGTACTTCACAATCATATGGTTTGGGAGAGAAACAATGGGAAATTGTTGATGCCACTGAAGGTCCTTTATCACATTAGTTTTCCTTTTAAAACAAAATGTCGGTAATCCAAGATGATGAAAAGCAATACATAAGAGTGTAGCAAATGAGGTTTAGTGAAGCACGCTTTTGCATGCTTATTTATGTCAAAATGAAACATCATACCACACATTTCTCAAATTTAAGCTTCACAAACTACAATGTTGATAAGTATATTGATGCAAAAGAGTTCTTCAAACGGCATCAACATAAAAAAAAGGTCTAATTACCTGGACTAATGGGATCATCTAACTTTTCGATACGCTTGCAATTTCGAAGGGCAATAGATGCATCGTCTTCCTGAGATTTAAGCATGACAACACCCGGACAGTCTACCAATTTAACATTCTTATCCAATTGAACCTCTTGCAATGATCTCGTCAATCCAGGGGTAGCACCAACATTAGCAACATGGCTTCTCTTCAGACTGTTAATGAGACTGCTCTTACCAACATTAGGTAGACCAATAATACCTACTGTTATGGATTTCTTGATCTGCAAAAGATTACGCATTAAAAGGAACGTAAACTCATTTGTATGCTATAAGACCCACCCCATTAAACAGAAAGGTATATATATTAGGAAACATGAATTAGCTCTTACATCGTGACTTCTAGAGTAATTTTTCAGCAACTTAATGAGAGTGTCAGCTCCAAGACAATCACTTGTTTGCAGAAGATTGCTTGGTTTTGCTGTCTTAGAGGAAGATTTCTTCCAGCCCAAATTCGACCTCTGCTCTTGAGTACTACACTTGAAGGCAACTGCTGGTAGCTCTTCCCTAAGGTACTTTAGCCATTTTTCAGCCGCTTCTCGGGGAACAAGATCTGAAACAAATGTAACAGTAACCTCAGCAAAGCAGAAAAATCAAATGGATGAGGGATGAAGAGTTAAATGGCAATATCATTATGAAATGAAGAACATAAAAGAGCTAATTCAAGAAAAGGGAGACTCGAAAAAGCTTACCAATTTTATTCAGAAGCAATACGAGATGCTTCTCAGGACCAGATTTCATCACCATTTTTTCCATATCAATACAACGGGTGCCTAACGGATCTCTGGCATCAAGAACTTCTAAAATGACATCTGATACTTCAATGACTTTAACCAACTCCTTATAGAATACCTTATCTGAACTATCTGTGGGGAAAAAAAAAAAACGAAATCCCAATCAGCTCATCAGCAAATGGTCAAATGGGCACATTCACAAATTTCTTTTCCCCTTGATTCATTTCCCAAACCATTCCACCATATCAAACATACCCCGATTTCTTGCGACTTCAACCACCTGCTTCCTATCTTTCTCCTCCTCTGCCCCAAGTTCCATAGCAGCAGAATCATCCTCCAGTATGCCCAATTTCCTCTTTCGAGCCTAAAGTCAACATTGGTATTTCATTATTCATACGATATTAATGAAAAATATGGCAACTGGTTACATCCACATGACAGATATTCACAGTCCATATTGGTTTCGACTGAAAACAGCAAACGCAGTACTTCAAAACTAAGCTAATGTATTTACCCGTTCCTTGCGCTCAGCTTTCTTCCGCTCCAATTCCTCTATAGCACGAGCGCGCCGAACTTCAAGGGCCTTGAGCTCCTGTTCCTTAAAGGGCCAGTCATTGGGAATCCCCGGGTCCTTCTCGACCTTCTTCTTACCAGTACGAGCCAACTTCTTAGCTTCCTTGGCCTTCTTCTTATGGTGCTCCTTCACCTTCCTGATAACCTTGTGCTTCTTCTTCAGCGTCACCCTCTTACTCTTACTCTCTACAAGTAAAGCAACGAGAAATTTGCATGACGAAAGTTGAAGCTGCAAGGCTTTTTCGAACAGAAAAAAATATAGAATCGAAGTAGTGCAACATATGGTCTCGCTTACTTTTGCTCTTCTTCACCATGATGGATGCTCACCGGCAAGGACGCGAGGGGGAACAGAGACGACTGATGGAAAGGAAACTGGACGGTGAAAGGTTGTAGCTTCCCCTTCAGAGAGTTGAAAGGAGCTGGAGATTGAGGACCGCGAAAGGCGGTTTTGATGATGTGTTATTCTTTTTGCTAGGGTTTTAGAAGGGGAGAAGAGAAGGAAACAGACGGAGCCCTGGATTTGTATTCATCCAGGTTTCTCGGCCCAATGAGCCATTAACATCACCTTTGTTTTGGATAATTCAATGAGTGTCATTCAACCATGAAATCGGGCCTCGACAGCCTGGGTAACAAACTCACGGTCTACAAACCCAAACAAATGGATAGGAGTGTTAAGAATTAGTTTATCTCAATAACTCCATGAAATCGGGTTTCGACAGTCTTGCTAAAAAACTCACGGGCCACAAGCCAAAACAAATGGATAGGAGTGTCAATAACCAGTTGATACTTGATACCAATGACTCGAGTTGTTGGAGATGTTCAATAATGAATCTTATACCACTTACTAACAAGGAGGACGTTACTCCCAAAATAACTTCGTGTTAAGAACCATATCGGATGTGGAATCGGAAAGGTTAGTAGTTTATGGTTCAGTGGTTAACCATTATAGAATTGCTGGTTAACCGTTGATAGACCAGTTCATATGGTATAATCTATCTAAAAAATAATATAAGCAGATTCCCATTATTTAGTCCATGGATTCAAAATTGGCACCCGTACATGCTTCCACGTCATCACCTACAATTTTCTCCACCCCATCGAGATCCTCCCAACTCCTTCCCGCTTCCGTTTGTTCCCAAATCAGACAAAAGCCCTTTCCCACTCCTCCCCAATTATACCTAGCCTCCCCTGCACCCATTTACCCGCCGCTTTCCGGTTTGTCTCCCGCCCTCTCCGGCCAACGATCCTAACGCCATCATCCCCCCTGAATCCCCTTACTGCCCAGCCATCCTTCGGTAGTTTTACCACCCCATTCGTCTACAATGGCAAATCAATCGGCCGCCAATTTCCTTTTTCCGATTCCAATATTTGCCCCATTTATTCACCAACATTTGCCCGCTGAACCGCCGTTCCTCTTCTCATTTTATACCGCCGCCAGTACCACCACCCCCACGACCTACCTCTTCGCGTGTGGTGGCAACAGGGGAACCTGTGGTTGGCAACCATTGTACTTCAATTGATAGGTCTGTGATTTCTCATTGAGTTTTTAATTTGTTTCAGTTAATTAATCTTCCATGTTACCGTCAGTCCCTGTATTGAGATGTAACCTCAAACTCATTACACGCACCGAGATTATTCAACTGTGTACCCAGATTTAGTTCACAATTTATTGATCCTCATACATTGGAAGAGTCGGTCATCACTTCCCTTTTATTTGGTATCTTTATTCATACCCTTACAAACACTTTGTTGTTTTATAACTCCATACCCGAACCAATGTAGATAGGATCAACCATTTATATATTTTAACTTTTATCTCATGTGAACCATATCACCTAATTATTGCAGATGGACCGAAATGGCAAAAGATCGATGATGTTTCCAGAAGCACCACGGCGAAAACGTATGCGTACGCGTGCAGCCATCTCTTTTCCTCAATGTGTAGGTGCAGATCCAGGCGACGCTACTTCTTCAACGATCCCATCTGATCATCCCCATGAACATCATACATCAGGTAACATTTAGACCCCATATTTTCACACCAGCCACAACAGCCTGCTGATTTTGCTTACCTTTTTTACAAAATAGGAGTTCAACATTACACTGACTTACTCAAGAATTTAAAAGCATCCCTCTCAAAGTCAATGAGGGCGCAACGCAGGGTACACTTATTGATGGGAAAAAAATTTACGCTTCAACTCTACAATAAAAGCTAGTAAGCTAAAATTTAGTTTCCTTAAATTAATTAGCTTCCATCCTAAATATTGCAAATGTACCCTGGCATGCATTCAACAACTTTCTGCATACTGCAGATTATGAATGTTATACAAGAAAGCTGGCAGCAAAGATTCATCGATTAGAAAGAAAGATCAAACTACTAAAAAGTCGGCATATGCGTCAAGGTATGTTCTTCTATTCTAATATAGGTAGCATTCTTCATTCCTTTAACCCACCTTTCAAACATAGCTCGGTATTTTCTTAATCCTTCAATTACAAATGTAGGACTTCCAACTGTCCAGCCCTTTAACTTAGACCCACCTAATTGCATTTGTCAATTTTGTGGCGCTCTCATGTGGATAGAAGAAAGTACAAAGCCTACTAGACATCGACAGGTGCCTAGATTCTCATTATGCTGTAAAGAAGGGGAGATTAGGTTGCCTTCACTTAGAGAGCCGCCTGATTTCCTTAAATGGCTTCTACAATCCAATGACGCATTGCCCAAACATTTTCGGGAATTTATCAGAGCTTACGATGTTGTTTTCTCATTCACTTTGATGGGCGGAAAAGTGGACCATACAATTAACCAGGGACAAGGAGTATATGTGTTCTCCATTTGTGGTCAGGTATATCACCATATTGGCTCATTACTTCCGCAAAATGGGAATTCCCCAAAATTTGCCCAGCTATATATTCATGATACTGGTAATGAGCTTATCAACAGAATGCAAGCTTACAACAATGATAGAAGTAACCAGTTGCAAGATACACTCATTGAGTCATTAAAAGACATGTTTGATCAGCACAATCAATTGGTACAATTGTTCAGATATGCGCGTGACAGACTGCAAGATCAAGATGTACAACAAATGGAGGTGCGACTACTAGCTGAACGAACCAGAGATGGTCGTGAATATGATATGCCAACCGGCATTAATGAGTTAGCTTCATTAGTGGTCAATGATACGGGAGTTGAAACATACAACCAGGATATAGTAGTTCAACTCCAGTCTTCACAACTATCTAGAGTCAGCATGAGGCACCCTAACTTAATGGCACTTCAATGTCCATTGTTATTCCCATATGGAGAAGATGGATGGCGGCCTGACATTGAAATAAGTAAAGGATTTCTCTCCCAAAGGCAATATTATGCATACAGACTTCAAACACGACCAAGCAAGCCGTCAACTTTGTTCCTGGATGGAAAACTATTTCAGCAATATGTTGTGATTTGTGAATGCCTACACACTTATAGAAGCTGAGAGGTTAGACTGGATTCGCAATAATCAACGTAAGGTTCGTACTAACCTATATGTTGGTATTCTTGATGCATTCCTTAGCGGAGATACCGATGTTGAGTTGACAGGGAAACACATCATATTATCATCATCTCATACTGGAAGCTCGAGGTATATGTATGAGAACTTCCAAGATGCTATGGCCATTTGCAGATGGTTTGGGTATCCAGATTTATTTCTGACATTCACTTGTAATGCAACTTGGCCCGAAATACAGTTTATGACATATCTCATCAATACAAATGGTAGACCAGATCCCAATCGTGCTGATATTATTGCTAGAGTTTTCAAAATGAAACTTCATCAACTGCTTGATGAGATCAAATCCAAACATATATTTGGGCGGACATGTGTAGGTACTATTTTCCTTATAATTTAGTATTTAAGTATTATTTTGATCCAAAATAACTGCAACTCAGAATTTCTTACGGTTAGATTTCATATTCCATTTTTGCAGAAATATACACTATTGAATTCCAGAAACGAGGACTGCCTCATGCACATATACTCATTTTCTTGATCCCTGAGGACAAGTTTGTAGGTCCAAACAAAATTGATTCCATTATCTCGGCTGAAATTCCGGACAAAGAAACTGACCCCAATGTTTTCATGCTGTCAAAAAGTATATGCTTCATGGCCCTTGCGGTTCTATGTTCCCGGAGGCTCCTTGCACCGTTGCAGGAAAATGTCTTAAGCATTTTCCCAAAAAATTCCAACCGGAAACTACAGTTGATGAAGATGGCTTCGTCAAGATGGTCGCATAATCACAAAAAAGGGCTTCCCATTAGATAATTGGTTTGTCGTACCATACAAGAGATATCTCCTTCTACGATTTCAAGCTCATATTAATGTTGAGTGGTGCAACAAATCAAGGTATACATTTCCACTAACCTATTAAGCTAATTTTTTATATTATTTTAAAATTGTAGTTTAGACATTAAATAATTTCAAATAGTCCTTAAAGAATACATCACAACCTTTGTCTTTACTTTGAGCTGGCGCATTCGATCCCTATAATTTTGTTTAGTTACATTCTCATGGTATATATATATATATATATATATATAAAATTTCATGCAAGTTGTTTCGACTTGGTCATTGAATGCAGGTCCATAAAATACTTATTCAAATACATCACTAAGAGTCCTGATCGAACAATGGTTGCTTTAGTTGACACAGAAATGCATATCTCAAATGCTGCTTCAAGCTCAAAAACTATTATTCAGGAAACTGATGAGATAAAAGCATTCTTGGACTGTCTCTATATATCTGCTTCTGAATCAAGTTGGCGCATTTTCAAGTTTGATATACATCGACATAGACCTTCAGTTTTGCGAATGAATTTCCATCTTCCCGGAGAAAATTTGGTTGTATATAATGAACAAAAAACCATGGAAGAAGTTGTTGCAGACGGAGAACAAGATACAATGCTTTTGGCATGGATGAAAATAAACATTCATGACCCACAAGCGAGACAACATACTTTTGTGGATTTTCCAGTTTATTATGTTTGGGATGCAGAGACAAGGACTTGGAGGCCACGCAAGTCAAAACTTACAATTGGCAGATTGTATTCAGCACATCCGTCTTCTGAAGAACGATTTTATCTACGTATGCTGCTAAATGTTGTCAAAGGTTGCCGGAGCTTTGAAGACATAAAAACATTCAACAGTGTAGTCTATGAAAGCTTCCAGGAAGCATGTTATGCTAGGGGATTCTTAGACGATGACAAAGAATGGCATGATTGCATCATCGAAGCATCTCAATGGGCAAGTGGATATGAATTAAGGAAACTATTTGTCACTCTCCTTACATGCTCACAAGTTTCCAATCCAAGAAATCTGTGGGAGAATAATTGGGAGCTACTATGTGAAGATATTCTATTCAAGCATCGACGTGCCCTTGATTTACCCAATTTACAGTTGTCGGCAACTCAAATTCAGCAGCTTGGCTTAACTGAGATTGAAAAATTGTTACAAAAAAAAGGGAAAACATTAGCCGATTTTCATGGAATTCCAGTTCCTGGTGAAGATTCCATGATCAACCACTCTAACCGTTTAATTGGCGATGAGTTATGCTACAACATTGCAGAACTACGTACTTACTACCACAATCACAGCTCCATGTTGAACGATGAACAAAGAGTAGCCTTTGAAGAAATTATGGAATCAGTCAATGGAGATTTAGGAAAGAATTTTTTTTTCATTGATGGCTATGGAGGTACTGGGAAGACATTCTTATGGAAAGTCCTCTTAGCAAAATTAAGGTCCAATGGTAGAATTGTACTGCCAGTAGCATCATCAGGAATTGCTGCATTACTATTGCAGGGCGGCCGAACAACACATTCCTGTTTTCGCATTCCACTAAATCTCTCCCCAACAACAACTTGCAACATAGCACAAGGGACTGATTTAGCAGAGTTGATCCAACACACGGATCTAATTATTTGGGATGAAGCACCACTGGCTCATAAGCATTGTATGGAGGCATTGGACAAAACATTGAGAGATATTCTTCGCACAAAGTTCCCCGATAGCCAACATAAACCATTTGGTGGTGATTTCCGTCAAGTCCTACCTGTTATTCATAAAGGAACAAGAACAAAAACAGTTACGGCATCATTGAAGAAATCCTATCTCTGGGATAATATGATTGTGCTAAAGTTGACTCAAAATATGCGACTAAATCAACCAGGTTGCTCCGACCAAGCGGCATAAGAGATATCAACCTTTTCTGATTGGGTACTTGTGATAGGAGATGGGTAACACTGCTCTGTTTTGGGAGATGCACAAATCCCAATCCCACAAGACATCTTAGCTCAACGACATAGCTCACCGATAGAAGACATTGTCAATGCAACATATCCTAATTTGGATCAGAGCTATAAGGATATAAAATATTTACAAGGTAGAGCTATCTTGGCGCCTCACAACGAGATGGTTGATAGAATAAACAACTACATGCTTAACTTAATTCCTGGACAAGAAGCATTGTATCCTAGCTCTGATTCAATAGCTAATGCAGATGGCAGTGGGAGCAAAACAAATACTGAATATCCAATAAAGTTTCTCAACACCATAAAACCAGGGGGCCTTCCAAATCATGGACTGGTACTTATAGTGGGAGTTCCAATTCTTTTGCTAAGGAACATTGACCAAACAGCAGGATTGTGCAATGGTACAAGATTGGTTATTAGAAGATTGGGACAATGGAGTATTCAAGCAGAAATTCTTACCGGGACAAATGTTGGAGACCAAGTT